TCACACTGAAGAATAAAAAACTTGTCATGAATACAGGTGCTCTTCACCTGAAGAACAACTCAAAAGTATGTTAACTTTTGTCTCCCCCCTTTCTCCCAGAGATTCATGCATTGAAAATACGTATTTCTTCCTAAAAATTCCAAACGTGTGTCACCAAAGTCGACTTTGATACTTCTCCCCCAGAACGCGATTTAACAATCATTAGTAACGTGCTGGCGACGTGGAGTTTTCATGATGAAAATATATACCTAAAAGTGCCTGCCCTACCTACTTCCAACTGACTCCAGGCTCGAGGCTCAACGGAAGAGGGTGGAAAGTACAGAGTGGAGCGAAATATTAGCGAGTGTACCATGACAGTGTTACACCAGATGCTTTTTCCGTACTAAACTTAACGTGTCAGTACCCAAAGATCCAAGCTAACGCGTGTTTTACAACCGATCGACAGCGACTTTTTAGAAATTCTTATCAAGTGATATTTCCACATCAACCCTAGTGGAAAATTCAAAAATTATAGCGTTACATACCTGATCATAATCTGATATCATAACTTGATCAGTGTCTGATCAAGACCTGACCAAAATTTCCACTCACACGGAGAGAAATTTTCTAAAGAATTCCAGTACGAGTACTGGAAAAAATTACAATCCACGGGCTGTGAAAAATCCTAGTCCTGTTAAGGTAAAATTTCTTGGTATTTCTGGTAAAATTTCTGGGGATTTCTGTGAAATTTTCACAGAAATACGAGGAAAAATTCACGTTTTCCCCGATAAAATTTCTAGTGCCGGCACTGGAATTTTTTCCTGGCCGTCACTTTGCGCCTCTTTTCCCGTGCTAGCACTAGAATTTTTCTAAAAAATTTCTCTCCGTGCGGGAATGTCACGGAATTTTCGTCATTGAAAATTCACAATTTGATGATAAATTAATCAAAATCAGGAAAATTCAGGTAAATGTATTTTTAAATTTGTAACGAATAGATTTGATGGAATTCCGTCATTGAAAATTTACAATTTGATTAAAAATTGATAGAAATCAGGAAAATTGAGGTAAACATATGCTTAAAGTTGTAAGGACTTGTACATTCAGCGTAATTTAGTACGCAATTAGCGAGTGTACCATGACAGTGTTACACCAGATGCTTTTCCCCTGCTAAACTTAACGTGTCAGTACCCAGAGATGGAAGCCAACGCTTGTTTTACAACCGATCGACAGCGACTTTTTAGAAATTCTTATCAAATGATTTTTAATTGAAAATTCAAGTAAATTGGAGAATTCTCGGCTCTCTGTTGTTAAAAAATTTGGAATTCCATTGAATTTCCCTATGAAAGCTTGAATTTCCAAACTCAGTCTGAAGATTGGACATTACATACAATTCAATTTTCAATAGATCAAAAATTGAGAAGTTAAAATTCAATTTTTGCTTGAATTTTCAAAATTTTCAAGGTTTTTAGTGCCGTACGTACCTGAAAATCGAGAATTACGTGAATATTCAAGAAATTAACTGATTCGTCAATGAATAAATATACAGAAATGTATACTGAAGTTATAACTTCATCGTTGTTCAAAATTTCATGCTTTTTCACTTGGAATTTCACGAGTAATTTCCTAACAGTGAGAGGGTTAATGCCACTCTCGTAAAAATTACGACTGAACGAAATGTTCATGAAATATAATTTTCTAAAACGTTTTTTAAATTTTTCTTTTAAATGGTCGTTGAATGCTCACTAGGTCTCCGCTATGCCCCTGTATTTGTTTATCCATAAGCAAAAGCAAATAAAAATTGACACTTCAGAAATTTTCCTTAAGAATCTCCATCCCCATCTCTTCCTTTACTAATTAATACTACCTCCACGGATTTCCAAAAAAAATCACTTATTGCATTTAAAAGAAATTTCCGCGGCTTCCGAATGAAAAAATTCAATACTTAATATACACCATGGAAGAATAAATCTGATAGCCTCCTCCACCCAGCAAAAATTACTCGCTCAATCACACCCATTTTCTCATCACCTCCGGATGATGTAACCGAAAGTAATGCCCCCGCAACGCGTGCCGGCACGTGCTCCTATCCCACCCGAAAATCGTTCTCTTGATTTTGCCCTCTCTGCCCCTAATAATTGTACACAGGCTTGTTCGACACGTCGTGTATGATCCGTGAACGGCAAGATGCGAGTTTAGATAGCCCAATGATATACAGAAAGTCGTTTCGCCACGTGGCCCTCTTGTTTTGAATTGTTGTTTCTATTGAGATTAAAGCCGCTTGTGTTTATCTGGTGTTTTAGTGTCGTGTGTACACGTGCCTGAGGGTGATCAGTTTAAATTGTCCTTTTAAAATCTAATTTCGGAATATTTTTATTCTACGCTTACGAACAATGCCATTTTTTTCATGTTCTTTGCATATCCAGTTAGATTGACATGCAAACAACGCAGCAGAAGCCATTTTACAGATTACATATGACTGCTACTCTCCACGGATTTTTTTTTCCTATTTTCATTTCTACCAATTTCATTGGTGGCAGACTTCCGAACGGATCCCAATGTACGTTTTCAAAAAATGAAGGCATGAGGATTACCATTTTTTGAAAATATTAAGGCCAATCCCACTCATACTTCATGGCAAAAACGATTTTTTTTCTCAAGAATTTTGGGTGAATTGTTCCATCTCAAGAACTATCAAACATATCGACCTAAAAGTTGGTGTAGGAATGTTCCTTGACAATCCTAACTAGAAGCCAAAGTTTCAAAAGGTTTCCCTGACTTTTACCCATATCATGGTGCGCAAAAGTGAATTCCGACGAAAAAAAATACAAAAACGACGATATCTCGAAAAATTTCAATGGGATGGTTCCCATATTTTGTTGGGTCTAGATAGATGACATCAAAAGGCACATTTTGAAAAAAAAAATTGAAATCGGACCGATAGTTTTTGAGATATTGCGCAAAAGAATTTCACATACAAAGTTGAATATCTCCGAAACTAGTAGTCCGATTTCGTTCATCCAGAATCCCAAACTTTGTTACTATAAGACCTAAAATCATACCAAGTTTCAAGTTTCTATCTCGATTATTTTTTAAGTTATCGTGCGAACAAGCAATTTCTGCGAAGAAATGAAAAAACGAGAGTAAAACTACATTACTCTGGGTGTAATGGTCTTTTTTCAATCCAATTAAATAGGTATCATCACGACGAGTATTTTGAAAAAAAATCGAATCGGTCGAATGGTTCAAAAGAGATCGGCACAAAACGATTTTCAAAGAATCGCTATATCTCCGGGACCGCTCAACCGATCGAGCTGAAATTTAGCACAAACTTGAGTCTCAGTAGTACCAATTAGCAGCCAGACTTTCAGCATCTTCGCCTCAATAATCCACACACAGACATTTTTTAAAAACATCATTTCTTCACGTTTCATGACATTTCTAGGCATTTCCCTCCAAAATTAAGAAATCGAAAAAAATCACGATTACAAAGCTTCCTCTTGGAAGCCAAAATGATTAATTAATTGTCTTTATAAAAATAATAAAATAATTAAATACAATGAAATATTCCATCAATTTTCATCGGAGATGTCTTTTTCAAGTTGCACTTCCACTCCTTCCAACAATCCCCTGGATCCCCCAAAAATTCAAAACTAACTAACGTCAACCCCGCTCCAGGTTCAAGGTTGGTCATTGTGCTCTTGGCACATGATTCAGCTGTAAAAATATATGGCATACTAATTCTCCTCCATTCGGAGGCAACACATCCACAAAGAAATCAACCACGTCTTCAGTCTCCCACCTGAGGGATACACACAAAAGTTCTCGTAAATTTAATCAACATTAAAAGCACATTACCCTGAAAGAAGTTGGATGGTCATCGTCAGCATGACTATAATCCTGCCGAAGCGACAAAAGCCCCCATGCCGTGAAGAGGCCCGATTCCATATCCTTTTGCCCTCCAGTCCCTCTCATGCTTCTCTTTCCGCTCGAAAACTGACTAGGAATAATCCTCAACTGGTTTTTGAATAGAATACAAACGTTTATAAGTTTGTGACGAGGAGAGCTCTAGGGGAGGCCGACAAGTCTCCATGTGTGAGTTGAAAAAAATCTCCACTAATGATGACCAGTGAGGTACTACTGTTTGGCCCAGTAGCATTGCCAGACTCATCCAATCCTTCAGGTGATTATTGATATCGTTATGAATATTTTCATCACGCTGCGCGAAAAGTGACTTTTCGCACGCTTCGCGTGCCTAAAACGTCCCTTTTCCACACATTGTAATGAAAAATATCGTTCGATACAAGTGCGGAAAAGTGTTTTTTTGCTCGTGGGAGGTTTATAGCACGAGCCGAAGGCGAGTGATATAATCCCACGAGCCAAAAAAATTTCTTGTCTATTCATGAAACCGGTTAACCATTAATAAACAAACATTTGCACAAGATTCCACTATATTTCATAACGCCATTTATCAATAATTGTGTATGTCCACGTGAAAAGGGCCCACTTTGTATTGTAATGCAATGTATTTTGAAACCAATATTCAGGGAAAGGTAAAAAAAGTTGAACGTTGGGGCAATGTGGAATTCGACGAATTATTGAATTCAATTTAAAATACATCGCCACAAAAATTCCATCCGGAAGCAAATTACTGATAGATTAACAAAAATACATTGACTAGATTGTGACGAAAGCAATTTTCTACTTGTTTTTCTTTTTTATGATCTATTATCATATGCCGGACGTGCCTATCAACACGATAATTTGAAATTGATGAAAACAACAACAAAATTGAATTAAACCATGACAGTTCACCGAAAATCCAAATAAATTCGTTATCTGTCATAACATCAGCAATAAAATGACCCAAGTACAAAATTAAACGATGACAGTTTACCGAAAATACAGATAAATTCGTTATCTGTCGTGATAACTTCATCAATAAAAAGAGCCCTTGCTACATCACACGTGGCACATCATTACGAATCGTTGATGAAGCGCTAAAAGAATTCCATTTCATAATAATGAAGTGGCAAATATTCTATTGTGCATTATTCCTCATTGCAAAGGCAGAATCGAGCTGGCTGCTCGACAGGTAAGATTATATTCTCAAAAATATAGATTACATCCGTATTCGAAACTACAAGTCAATTGCAGTCAACAACGACGAATCAATGAAACCATTTTAATTGATTTCAGAATCTGCGACTACGATTTAACAGATCCACATGGCTTGATAACATCTCCAAATTACCCTCACAGTTATCCATCATCAGTCGTATGTACCTACAAAATAATTCAGCCACGTGAAAGGATTGTATCCCTGAGTCTATCACACATTGACCTAGGATGGAATGATACTGACAGTTGCAGTGGACGCTTGGAGATCTACGACGGAGATGATGATCTTGCCCGCAGGTTGGAGGTATTCTGTGGCACTGACTATTTCATTCCATCGCGTGTCATCAATTCCACGACAAATGCTCTGTTCCTGAAACTCGAGAGTCATTCTTCATCACGAGGAAACATAGGCTTTCAGGCTGTGTACAAGACAACTGATCTCGAATGTGGTGGACTCTTCAAGGAGAATAATGGAACGATTCAACATCCTACTCACGGTACACAGTACAAAAATAACGAGAATTGCGACTGGGTGATTCAGGCACCACCGGGACATACAATCAGACTGAAGTTCATAGTGTTTCAAACCCAGCAAAACAATGATTGGGTCAAGATTAGCGAATTTCATGAAGGCAAGGTGGTCGATGTTACTACGGTTAGTGGAGGTACAATACCATCTGCACCTGTAATCACACGAGGCAGAATCCTCTATCTCCATTTCAGAAGTGATCACAATAGCGTTTACTCCGGGTTCAGGGCGAATTACACGTTCGTTGACTCTTCGGGACTTAATTCACAAGTTTGAATTTGTGGTTTAATTATTCTGAGGAGTACGGGAGGGTAGGGCAAAACGTACCACTGCACGCAGAGAAATATTCAATAAAAATTGCGTATTTTTTCCGTAATTCCGGAGCGAAATGTGGTTGTAGGAAATTTTACGGAACTGTCACGGAATTTTTCCGGAGCATTCCGTAATTTTTATCTGAATCTTCTGAAAAAAATTACGATACCGTCACTTAAATTTTCTAAGTCGATTCCGTAATCGGCGAGTGAATTATAAGTTCCGTAATTTTTAGTGAACATTTCTCTCCGTACGACAGAAAATTGGTAATTTTTCTTTTTTTTTTCTTTCCATCAAATCAGGAACACTGAATGTGTTAAATTAAAAGTGATTTTCTAGGATTGCATCCGTCAGAGGGGTTTTATAGACAACAAGTGTCGTTGAACCGCGATTTGTTCAGATTTGCTAATTACCTCAAACCACAAATGACTTCGAATTTGCTGCATTCGGACGCAAAAACAAAAATTATCAATTTTCAGTCAGTGGTCCGTTTTACCCGTCTGGTCCGTTTTGCTCTACCCTATCCTATATTATGATGACGATTGTGTGATATGCAAATGTCCTCAGCTCTATTTATAATTGTAGAATGCTTAAGATAAGGTAACACTCGCTTTTTGTCTTCTAGAAGTATGAATTGAGGAACTAATAAATGAAACGGAATATTTTGGTGGAAAAGAGGTTCTTTTGTTGGACTTTAATTGATGTTGATCTCTACATTCGTCAAACTAATAAACCATCCTATTCTTTTAATCAAGATTCGCCTTCTTATTGCTATATTTTTACGTTCGGAGCTAATTGAAAAGACAACAATCTTTAATAAATAGAGTCAATAGTATCATTTAATTAATCGCAAGGCTGCCATATATCGCAGATACATCGTAACGAACTCGAGTTGGAAGATTATTGATATCGTAATAGTATGATCACCGTGATGATAATGACGATTGTCACGCCGTGATCATGAGGATTACCGATAACAATTCTCAAGTATTTACAGAGGAGTTTATGATGACAATGATAGTGATTATCTTTCCAAACTGATCTCTCGCTGAATTTCAGAGAAGGATACACGGACGAAAAAATTTAATAGAAAAACCTATCGAATTCGTTAGAAAATTCTATTGAATTTCTATTGAACTGTGCTATTAGATTCTATTGAAATGTTCACTAGAAAATATTCAGTAAAAGAGCCAATAGAATTCAATTTTTCTATATAACTTACTCTATTGAGATATTTTCTATAGAATTTCATCGACTCAAATTTTCTGTTTTTTCGTTTAATTTTCTTTATGAGAAAAAAGGAAAAATAGAATGAAAAAAACTTGGAAAATTTGAGTCGAGCAAATTCTATAGAAAACATATGAAAAGGATAAGTTATATAGAAAAATCGAATTCTGTTGACTTTTTCTATTGAATGTTTTCTATTGAATATGTCAATAGAATCAGCCAAAAACTAATAGAAAGTTTAATAGAAATTCAATAGAATTTTCTGACGAATTCGATAGGTTTTTCTATTAAATTTTCGCGTGCGTGTATAAACACCCGCACAAACACCTGAATAAAACATCAAATATCAAATTAGTTGAACAATTACTTAACAATGCGGTTGTCATAAACTAATAATATAATCAAATTTTAATCATCATAATATCGATTAATGTACTATAATATTCATTAAACATGAAAAAAAAAAAATTTCTGCAAAAATTTCCATTTTGTCAATTCTTGACTTTCTTTCCTCCGAATACATCCAGATAATATCATGTTAACGGATATACCACATTGAGTAGAACGAAACCCCAAAAAATATTCCTCCTGAAAAAACTTTCATTCTCCAGAAGTTCCATTGTGCCCCAAGAAATATGCAATAATAATCGCCAGCCAACAATAATGAATCAAAGCCCCAATTCATCTTATTATTATGAATCCCCTCATTCTGGCATAATAAATCGGCCATTCAGAGCTCGCAAAGTGAAAGTCATAAATGATGATCATAATCTCCGTAATACAGCTACAAATTATCCTCCAATCTGCCACAGTGTGTGGGATAATGAGCATTGTATCCACTCGGATGATTGTCCTGAAAAAAAAAAAACATTATCGGATTAGTAGTCATTTGTGTTCAACTGTTCATCGCGGAAAAATAGGTGATAATGGTTTATCAAACGGTGTTATAGTGAATAAATCATTGATTGTGGTAGACAGGGGTTTCGGATTGCCATACACGTATATATACCTCTGGAATACGCCTCTGGAGAAGGCTGGAACGGTCTCTCAGTATTGCACTGGATGATATTACGTCGCAAGCTACCTAATTAGATACAACGGATCATTGTCCACACGAATGCAACGTCAGTCTAGCTCTGGCGTATTAACAGCTCCACCGCATCTGCATTTCATTGATATGCATGGCAATGTCAGTACTGTGATACAATTAACAGAATATACCTTCTCAATTAATTGGTGAAGATTGAGATTCCCTATCCTCGAGGTGGCGGGAATATTCCTAAACAAGGGTTTGCTTCCGGCAAAAACGCACTGATGATTGTCAAGTCATTTGGGGATCCTGAGATTGAAAATCTTTGAGATCTCATGTTATTCAGACGTTTTTTAGTGTGTGAAAATAGTATATTTTGATACACGGAGAGAAATTTTCTAGATAAATTCTTGTACGAGTACTGGAAAAAATCACAATCCACCGGTTGTGAAAAATTCTAGTACTGTTAAGGTAAAATTTCTTGGTATTTCTGGTAAAATTTCTGGGGATTTCTGTGAAAATTTCACAGAAATACGGGGAAAAATTCACGTTTTCCCCAATAAAATTTCTAGTGCCGGCACTGGAATTTTTTCCTGGCCGTCACTTCGCGCCTCTTTTCTCGTGCTAGCACTAGAATTTTTCTAAAAAAATTCTCTCCGTGTGCGATTGCGGGAAAGTGTTTTTGGGCTGGTGGGAGGTTTGTAGCACGAGCCGAAGGCGAGTGATATAATCCCAGGTGTCTAAAAACCCTTTTCCCGCGAGTATCGAACCTTATTTTTCATCACAATGTGTGGTAAGTGGGGTTTTGCGCATGCGGAGCGTGCGTAAAATGCCACTTTATACACAGCGTGATGAAAATGCCTGCAAAAGGTGTGCGAAGTTCAGACATTCGTCTTTACTGTGTACTCATGTAGTATTTATCGCCCGAAAAATTTCAACAGTGAGAAAAATATTCTTGTCATCAACCTCTACTTGCGGAAATTCCTCTTTTCTCTTAATGTAGCATGATGCTTCATATGTTTTCTCTTCTTTTGTGAACTGAATTATATTAGAAAGAGAATTGAACTCTTGTTGAAAATCTCCGCAAAATCCTCGACCCCCGACGGCTCAAAATCTCATTAGAAAATACAAATCCTGCAGTGATTACTTGAAGGGGAAAACTATAATAGAGGTGCACCATCAGAGTCCAATGTGGTGTCATATTCTAGTAGGATTTCGTAGAATTGAATGGAGAATTATTTTCGTAAGTAATATTTTTTTTATGTTTCCGCGTTCGTTCTTAGTTTTATCGAAATCATTGAATAATTTTTTAAATAATTTTAATTTTGTCATATGCAAATAAATTCAACGCTGAATACAATGCGAATATTTTTTTATTAAGGATATCCAAGTATCTTTTACAGTTTGGTATCAATTATCAAATTTGTCAATTAAATTGCGTGAAAAAAAAAATTTTTTAATCAGTAATATTCAGCGTTATTCAAAATACATTTTGCACAGAATTATTATTTTTTTTTAATGCTTTGTTTATAAAAAAATAATAGAAATTGTTCAAATTTTCGGCAACCTTATTTTTTTAGGCATGAAGTCGATTTTCTTTTAAACTCTGAATATGAATATATTTGTTAGCATTCTAAACAAATGATTTTTATGGCGGAAAATTGATTGTTTATAAATCATTTTATCAATGTTTTTCCAAAAGTAAACTTTCTAATTTTTTTTCTAATTTTTAAAATACTGATAAATGTAATTTACGCTTAACGTCAATATGATGTCTGGTGGCTTTTTTCCGTCATGAAAATCGGAATTTAGGCTTTAAAAAAGGGTATTTTACGGTCGAAATGAAAACGTAAATTACACCTAAACAAAGCATATTTTACGTTTAGGAAAACGTAATTTACGCTTCAACTTCAAGCGTAAAATACGCTCCCAAAAGTTTAAAAGACGACTTCCTAAACGTAATTTACGTTTAGGTTTTTCTGTGTGGAGATTCAAATTGAGACTTGCAAATTTTAGATAATAAAATCATTATAAAATAGTCGGACACTTAGGCTCAAATGGGACTCAAATGAGAGCTCTGATGTTCGACTACAAAAGTAGAAAAGCATTCCACTGGAGAAAAAATAGCCAAAGTATTTGGATGTCCTTAAGTCCGAATGTAGAATTAAAGGATTGAAAAATATTCCCACAAAATATTCCTTCATTACCCTCCATCCCAAATATTCAAATATTTATCCCCACAAACTTACATTTCAATCAATAGAAAAATCATTCAACAAAGTTTGACTCCCATTCTACTTGGCATTCTCACGAGGCAGTACAAACGAATGACAAAAAAATCTGAAAGACATACAATACAAATGGCGAGATGATCCGGGAATCGAGATGGTCAAGCCATTTACGGTGGCATAAAAAATCGTAAAAAAGGGAAAGGAAAATGGGAATAAAAAGGGCCAAAACCTCAGCTTCACCGCGGACACCCGAGGACTACTATAGCCTGTAGCAACCAAAATTTATCTGTATAATGGACGATACCCCCCCATGGGATGGCACCATCTGCAAATATCCCTTCATCCGGCCACGTGTGCCATACAAATTGAATTCTTACAAGTTTCAATGATATGGTAATGTAAGGACAACTTGCCGACCGGACACTTGCGAGGATTTTCAGTGCAAACCCTCAACCCCTCCCAATAACTGTCGTTTGTTTTTTTTCCGTGCGAGGGGAAACATTCCGTTCTCCTCAATTGAGTCATTCCATTTTGTAGAGAAATTTATCCATAAAGTTAGTGTTCCAACGTAATTTCTTCCATTGAATTAATTACCCCAACATGAGAAAAAGAAGAAAAGTAAAAAAGTTTACAGAAATAAAAGGCGATTCCACAACGTTTCGAATGCACAAGGAATTCCTCAGGAATTCCGCAGGTGCTTTATTCTAATCCTTTCTAAAAAACAGCATGGGCAATATCTCGAATTGGAAATGAGAACTCGAACATGGCGAATATCGCGAACGAATGGAGAAAGCAAGGCGGTGTTCATGAATGCAATCGTCGTGCGTCAGATTTTCATGAACCGCGCCTAACAAACATAAGATAATTGAATACCATTCTATGAGATATGAATAAGCGAATCACAATTGTCCAAATCATTTAGGTCATAGGAAAATAGAATAATTCTACTTTCTGAATATTGCGTTTACTGAGGTTTTCTTCGAACAAAGTTGATTAGAATTAATAGCTAGAATTATGAGATTATCTCACATTTTTGACGTTAAGGATAGGAGAATCTGAATGCAATATAGTGAAAGTGATGATCGATTTTTTCACTTTGAACAAATAATATTAATATCGAAATACGAAATTTCTGATATGAATAAAAAGAAGCTGTGACTCAATATTCCAAATCAGTAGCGAAGCGGTAAACCGGGTTAAGTCGATTTTGACTATTGGCCAGTTTTTGACGAATATCTCGGAATCTAAAAGAGATAGAAAAATTTTTGTCATGACCTTTTTATAGCTCTTAATTGGTTCTACAAAAAAGGTCATGAGAAAAATTTTGCTATCTCTCTTAGGTTCTGAGATATTCATCAAAAACTGATCAAAAGTCAAAATCGACTTAACTCGGTTTACCGCTTCACTACTGAAATGAAGTCTTAATTTTTAATTTGGTGCTGAGAACACGAGATGACAATATTCTAAGCACGGAATTATATTGATGAGATGAACAACAGATTAATTGAATTACCGTGTGAACTAACTAAAAATTGATAACAGTGTGGGCACGCTCTTTTACCAGAGTATCAACAACCATTGAATTTCAGAAATTCACACTCTAAAGTGTGTTCTAGAAGGAATTTAATTGTAATGATGATTAAAATCTTATTCAATGAGCGTAGGAATTAGAACATGAGTAAATCACTTATTGTAATATGAAAATTTAACAGCTGATAAATTAGGGCTTATGATTTTCATCGGTCGTATCGCTTTTTGCAATGAGAATAATTATAAACAATTATTTGAAAAATGAAATAACGAATCGGACGGGAAAAGCGGCATTAACAGGCTTCTTAAAAATCTACATCACAACCCACTCCATCAGAATATTATGACATGCACAACATCCCCGTCGGTTCAATCTTCATATTTTTTCCCCTTCATCTTTAAATAAAACAAATAATTGTCAGTTGAATTAACAGTCGCCGTTAAGTTGAAGTTTGAGTGCGGAAAATGAAACAATCTTTCACTCATGATCACAAATGAACATTTAGTATTGATTTCCTCATTCAATAATGTCAATGCACACTTCCCTCATCCAATCTTGTTCTAATCATTATAAATTTTCATATCTAAGTGGCTCTTGTCGACGATATCTTCATAAAATTTAGAATAGTCATCACAATGTAATAATGGTGATAATGATTATTATATTAACGCCTTTTTTAATGATATTGTTATGTTATTTTTACTATTTTCATTATGTCTCGACCCCATTTTTCATTTTCTGTTTGATTTTTTGCTGAAATCTCTTCAGAAAAATGTTTTTTATAATAATCACATATAGCTGTTCGTGTAATACGGATATTCTTCAGTTTGAAGTTCACTTCGTCATCTAGCGGTGGCGCAACAAAGCTCCACTTGAACTGCAACACTTCTCTGATCGTTCTTGTCGACAATGAGAATGAAAATGTTCCACTTTACCTTCGAATAACAGAGTTCATATTTTATCGATTTTGGTTGGGTTTACATAATCGGATATTTTTGAGTGAATCAAGATGAGTTTCCTCAAGGGTTATTTAAACATTTTCGCGAATGGTGTGAAGATTATTAAACAGAATGGAGGACTCGTTGGCTGCATCCGAACACTGTACAGGTAGGACCCCAAAAATTATGTTGAAATTACTCGAATTAATCTCGTAAACTCAAGATATTGGATTCTTGTTTTGTCGGGGAGGTTATGTTTCTCTGACATTTGCGTCGAGGAATTCTTTTAATTTCATGTTCACTTTTTCAATCAATGCAGAATGGATGACTTGAAATGGGGGAATTGCGTTGGAGAGGATAAATATGGAAACAAGTACTACGAGAATAATTATTATTTCGTTGGTGAGTCCACAATTTCATTCACTCATTTCCCCAGAATTTTAGCAGTAATTTAGGGGCGCGAGGGGAAAATTGACACTTGTGAAAACATTTCATAGGAAAACCTAGCGAATTTGTTGGAAGATTCTGTTCGATTTCTATTGAACTTGCTATTAGTTTTTGGTTGATTCCGTTGAAGTGTTCAATAGAAAGTATTTAATGGAAAACGCCAATAGAATTCGATTTTTCTGTATAACTTATTCTCTTCAGATATTTTCTATAGAATTTCTTCAGCTCAAATTTTCCAAGTTTAAAAAATTCTATTTTTCTCTCCTTTCCATCAAGAAAATCAAACAAAAAAGAAAAAACGAATCGTTTTTAAATCGTTTCTTTGCAAATATCTACAAAACTACTGGACAGATTTCGGTTTTTTTGTTTTCTATTTTTTCTTATCGAAATTCCGAAAATTTAGTCAAAACACCCCAAAATGGCGTCGATTAACTTTGACTGGTGACAGTATGAAGTGAATTTGACTGTATACCTATATATTACATATTTTTTCGATACATAATTGAAGTCATTTTGTCGTGTTTTGACCAAATTTTCGAAATTTCGGAAAGAAAAAATTAAAAATAAAATAGATCCAGGAGGATGCCCAACTTGTATGACTGCTCAAAATACTTATTTTGATTATAAGAATTACTGAAAAAAATGAAACAAATCAAAAGTGACATAATTTGCAAAATTAAATTTTTTCAACGTTTTTTTTTCTCGAAAATTCGTAATTATGAACATGAAAGGTCGAAAAAAAATTTTTATTGAAAATATTCATATAAGCAGTAAAAAATGCAAAATTTTGACGCTTAATAAATAAAAATCGTATGCATAGAACTCCAGTTATTGAAAAAAAAATGAAAAACGAGAAAAAAAATCATATTTCCAAACTGGGCTGTCGAAAAAATCTGAAAAAATTTGAGAGATAGTGTTTCGACCCTCCCAATCGTAGAAAAAATCGCCATCAATTTCCAAGGGGGTGAGGGTCAACGGTTGACTCATTTCGCGTGGAAAACCTCATATATCTGTTCATACAAAGTCTTCAAAATATTCTTTTTGCTTCCAAATGGAGGCAAAATTGCAATCGTCCTATTTTCACATTTTTTTTAAATGCGCCATCCCAGGACGAAACAGATGGGTAGTCTACGCACCTTACGTTAACATGGACTACGACGGTTCCCAAGTACCCGCCGAATGGTTTGGCTGGTTGCACTACAAAACTGATCTGCTGCCCCACAAAGACCCAAACAGGCCACATTACAAGTGGATGATTGATCATCGAATGAACCCGTCAGGTACCAAGGATGCTTACATGCCATACAGCACGACTAAACCCAAAATCGAGCCGTGGAAGCCACCTCAGTGCTGAACAAGCAACAATCAGCCGTAGACTCATTATTACCAATTCGAAAATTATGAAATTTAATATTCGTCGAGTGGTCCAGATGTATTGGGCATGTTCCATGTAAATAAATCGTCTTTCCGCAACTTATTGGTTCTTTCTGTCGATCGTGACATCAGTAAGTGAATAAAGTTGTAATACACACGTGAAAAACCCATTCGAATAGAACTTGTAATTTTTTTAGTTGAAAAAATCCAAAGTTGAAAAAATACTCGAAAATTAATTGGTCTAGGACTAGAATCCTTGCACCCAATTTAAAAAAATTAATATTTTTTTGATTTCGAAGAATTGGAACAGGATTTTTACATGTTCCAATTCTAGTGAACATCTTTTTTATTTAAGAAAAAATAGAGATCTAAATTAAGACTGAGTTAATGAACTAGTTTAGAAGTACATAATATGATGAATCAGTTAATTACTAGAATATTCAATTGAAGTTCATATGACAATGAAAATTGTGAAAATTCAAGAAACTATGATGCGGAAATTTTAATGTATTGAAAATTCAATGAAATGTGATGTGCAATTGCATCTTAAATTGAATTCAAATCCCCAACATTAAAAATTCACATGCAGCTGCTACTTACATTCCAAAAATTTCCAACAGTGTAAAATCAATCTTCGACACTCGAATTAAAAAATAAATAGTCCTTTTATTTCAGAAAGTTATAACAGTATTTTTACATGTGTCTCATACATTCAAACTCTTATCTTTATTTTAAAAAAGAAATAGAGATCTAAACGAACGCTGATTATTTAATGAACTAGTTTGGCTGCACTACCTGGAATGAAACTCAAATACCTAAAGTTCTGGATCACATGTATTTCGGATCTTTGGAGGTGCATAATACGATAAATCAGTTAATTGTTCGAGTATTCACTGGAATGTGAAGTTAATTTTCACAATGAGTTTGAGCATTCAAGTTGTCATTGAAATATCAATGATGGCTTAACGTAGAAAAATCAATTTTGTTGAATTTCCAAAATGAATAAGAAATTCCATGAGCAATGTCATCTCAAATTAAATTCAATTTCCCAACATTAAAAATTTACATGCAGCTGCTACTTACATTCCAAAAATTTCCAACAGTGTAAAATCAATCTTCGACACTCGAATTAAAAAATAAATAGTCCTTTTATTTCAGAAAGTTATAACAGTATTTTTACATGTGTCTCATACATTCAAACTCTTATCTTTATTTTAAAAAAGAAATAGAGATCTAAACGAACGCTGATTATTTAATGAACTAGTTTGGCTGCACTACCTGGAATGAAACTCAAATACCTAAAGTTCTGGATCACATGTATTTCGGATCTTTGGAGGTGCATAATACGATAAATCAGTTAATTGTTCGAGTATTCACTGGAATGTGAAGTTCATTTTCACAATGAGTTTGAGCATTCAAGTTGTCATTGAAATATCAATGATGGCTTAACGTAGAAAAATCAATTTTGTTGAATTTCCAAAATGAATAAGAAATTCCATGAGCAATGTCATCTCAAATTAAATTCAATTTCCCAACATTAAAAATTTACATGCAGCTGCTACTTACATTCCAAAAATTTCCAACAGTGTAAAATCAATCTTCGACACTCGAATTAAAAAATAAATAGTCCTTTTATTTCAGAAAGTTATAACAGTATTTTTACATGTGTCTCATACATTCAAACTCTTATCTTTATTTTAAAAAAGAAATAGAGATCTAAACGAACGCTGATCATTTAATGAACTAGTTTGGCTGCAGCAACTACCTGGAATGAAACTCAAATACCTAGAGTACTCAATCACATGTGTTTTGGATCCTTGGAGGTACAAAAATAGTATGAAAATCTTGATAAGACTGGAATGATTCTTGTGATCATATTGTCCCCTTGACTCATGTTAATACTCATGTTTTAATTGTTCAATCTGTCTCCGAGGCCTTCTTCTTTCGATAGTCCTGCTCGGACTGATACCCCGGAGCGTGATTGTGCTCGTGAACACCTGTTGGCATGAATCTCTCGGCTATCACGGCGCATTTACCACGACAGCCACGATGTTGCTCAGCACAGCGGTAATGCGAGCGGTTTAACACTTCTGAACGAGATGTTAAGTTGTAGACGTAGCCCTCGTGGACTAGTTGGGGGCGACCTCGGGCTGATAGTCTATAAGTTACTGGCTCCACGTCTTGAAGGAAAAATATTTTTAGAAATTTTTTTCTCTATGAATTGATCAATTCAAAAAAAAAAAATTAGTAGTGCTTTGTCTGGCAAATTCTATTGAATTTCCCTTCGAATTCTATTGAAATGCTATATTTTTGTCCCTCTGCAGTATTTTTTGACAGATAATCCATAAAAAATGATTCATAGATTGCCATTTTTTCAATCAATATAATTTATTCTATTGAAATTTTTGCTATAGGAATTTTTAAGCACAAAAATTCTCATTTCTTTCTACTGAATTTGTTTTGTTTCTCATTACAAAATCTAAGAAAAAAAATAGAAAGTTGATGTTGAAGAATTTTTGCACGAAAAAGTGAAAAAGAATATGTTTTTATGAAAAATCAACATCTATTGACAATTTTTTAATGAAATATCTATTGAAAATTTTCAGTAAAAATTGAGGGACAAAATCGACTTGATAGAATTTTAATAGAATAACAGTGGAATTCCAATAAAAAATCGATTAAAAGTCAATATAATTATTTAGCGAATGCACTAGGTTTTCTACTGAATTTCTTCAGGTGTAGCTAATTTGAAATTTTGAATACGTACTTCCTTCTTCTGCGTCCTTCCCACTAGCGTTGGTGTGGATGAGCTCATCCTGGTCTCCAAAATCATCTTCCTTCGTTAAGTCGATGGAATCATCCACTGAAAGGAATATAAAACTGTTAAATGTACTGACCTACTGAATTTTTCATACCTAATTAAATCATAAATCATCTGATGATGACTCATTTTAAGGGAAAATATCACAAGACATTATTCATTAGAATCTTTCCCAATCTAAACAAATATCCCTTGACAATTCTTTCTGAAATTGATAAAACTGGAGATGAATGCGAAATTACCAATGATTTATTTGTCAATTAAAATTTCAAACGGCAGATTATTATTGCAGACATCTTTGACACTATTAGGCCTATCAACAATTCTCAAAAAATCGAATATTTTGGAGAAAATTTGGTATTTAACAAATATTTCAAGACATTTTCTCCCTAAACCAATCATTTTTGAGATTACCACATGATTAATAAGTAATAATTAAGAATTCATGCATTCACTCGTCCCTTTTAATAATCAATTATAATGACTGACATCTCTCAAATCATCAGATGCATCATCAACCAAATACCCAATTTAAAAAAATAGAATTTAATTGCTCTAACAGTTAATTACTCTACTCTAATTTAATTACTCTAACATTTAATTATTTCAACACACCATTCTTCTGAAGATCATTCTCCGAGGAATTCATCGAAATTTCGTGCGCGGGATCAGTCTCATTCGTGTCATCGTCACCAGGCCCATCATTCTTCGGAGAGAGACTCCTAACACTCGCCTGATCCCCAGAATTCTGAACATTCAATCCAGAGCTGCGTGTTCTCTTCGATGGATTCATGGCGCTACTCGTCTGCAGTCTTTTCTTCGTGACTCGGTCTTGTTTACTCGACTTGGCGTGGTCTCCCGATATCCCGCTGTTATCAGAGTCACTCTCGAATTTCGGAACTCCATTCGAGACACTTCCATTATCTTTGGGCACGTGCTGCAATGCTCAGTAATGATTAATTATTTGTATTTTAATGTGTAATTTTTTTTATGCTCAATCATGCAGAATTGATGTTTATTGTGGAGAGAGAAATAAAAAATGCGATGATGACCTTCAAATTTTGTTTATCAAGCGTGAGACCTTTGACTTGGAGCGTTTCAGCGACTCTCAAGAAACTCGCGAGCTCCTCTTGCTTCACATTGACTTCACCTTGATACATGAACTTGAGGAGTGCATCGACTTCGGTGTAGCCCATGTCTTTGAGGATTACTACTGGATGCTGGCAGGGGTTGGCCTGCGAAATTTAATGAACAGCAGTTACAGAAAATTACACGGACGAAAAAATTTAATAGAAAAACCTAGCGAATTCGTTAGAAAATTCTATTGAATTCCGATTGAACTGTTCTATTCGTTTTTGGCCGATTCTATTAAAATGTTCAATAGAAAATATTCATTAGAAAAAGTTAATAGAATTCAATTTTTCTATATAACTTATTCTGTTGAGATATTTTCTATAGAATTTCCCCGGCTCAAATTTTCTAAGTTTTTTCGCTTGATTTTCTTGATGAGAGGAAAAGAAAAATAGAATGAAAAAAACTTGAAAAATTTGAGTCGAGCAAATTCTATAGAAAATATATGAAAAGAATAAGTTATAGAAAAATCGAATTCTGTTGACTTTTTTATTGAATGTTTTCTATTGAACATGTCAATAGAATCAGCCAAAAACTAATAGAAAGTTCAACAGAAATTCAATAGAATTTTCCAACGAATTCGATAGGTTTTTCTATTAAATTTTTTCGCGCGTGTACTCCTGAAATTTCTGGAATGTTCAATGAAATTGTAAATTACTGAAAATGGTAAAAGTCTAGTTAATTCACATTTTGTTGAATTTTCAAGATGAATAAGAAATTCCATGGGCCATTTGATGTTGAATTGAATTAAAATTCACAACATAAAAAATTCAAATGCAGATATTGCTTAATTTTTGTATTTCCAAAAAATTGAAAGAATGGAGATCTTTATTTATGTTCGAATTTCATATTAGTCTCATATGTTCCCCCATCGTTATAAAAAATCGCAAATTTTTATTAAACATGGAAATATTTAATTTTCGGAAAATGGATAAACATCCTTCACAGAACTCCAATAGACTTCTCATAGAAATCTAACAGTTTTTCCACACGTGATCTCCTCCTTTAAGTTTAATTACTTCTCTGAGGTAATTAAACTGAGGTAATTACCTTGAAAATATCCGCGAAGTAAATGTTGAAAAATGTTGTTTTCATTTTTGGAGTCTTCCACTAGGTAGGGGAGGTTGGGGTAAAATGGACACTTTTGACTTTTTTAAAAATATTAGTGACGGGTTGAAATGTTGATGAAATTTAATCTTTTTTTTTCAATACAAAGAACCATTCTTTCCCTTTGTGATGAGCCTAAATTGAGCTCAACTCATAAATTTCTTTCTAAGTTATGAATATTTTTAAAAAAGTCCAAAGTGTCCATTTTACCCTACCCTCCCCTAAATTTTCGATTTGAAAATAAATCCCATAAGAGCCCACATATAATATAACATTTTTGTATTTAGTGTCAAAAATCTAATAGACTTTTTACAAAAATCCAATAAACATTAAATAGAATTTCTTAAAGAAGGAATTACTCCCTATCAAATCCTCCCATACGCGATCTCCTCCTCCTCCTCTAAATTCAATCACTTTTCTCTAATGTGATTACCTTGAAAATATCCTGGAAGTAACTGCTACAAACCGACAGAACGAGCTTGTGTGCCTGTAGAAGTTGGCCTTCAACAGCGATCGTCACATCCACCAGGTCCTGATTGTTGAGATGTGTCAAAAACCCAGAAGATAAATTATTTGAAAAATTGTTCCACCTGAGGGCAAACTGCTCAGACGATGGAAAACTGTCAGTCAGGGCCATTGTCGTTCTTTGTTCTGTGAAAAAAGACAGAAAATCCAATTCATCACTCACTCATTCAAATTCACCCACTGATTTCCCTTCCCTCAGTGATGAATTGTTCACCTGAATGCTCTTGCTCTACTCCCTGTCGCAAAATCGACGAGTTCTTATCAAAATCGAGTGCCTGATTTTTCGGCTTCACTAATCTATCAACGCGGAATAAATGCTTCTTGGTGAATTGTCGCGGCAATACAGTTGATATCACATTGTGACTGACCGTGACATCAATTGGTGCATCATCACTACGAATGAGTGTGGAGAACGTGAACTTCTTTAGAACGAGAGGAAAAAAACAGTAAACAAAAAGGAATCAGCGAGACGCTATTTATCTTTGATCGAGAAAAATGTGGTTAGTTGCTAAGATAAAGTGAGACTTGATTTTTATCTCAACTGCGGCGTTACTGTCGCGTCATTTTTGAATCCCAATTCCGAATAAATCGGTGAACCTTCACGGGCTTCACGTATGAGAAAATTTAAGGTATATCTCTAGAAAACAGGATTTTTTCACGATTGTCTCCGCGTTTTTCACAGATAATGCTTATAATATTCCTCAACTATTGAAAAGAATTCGGACTAGCTGCACTACGTAGTTTAAGAGATAATAAATAATGAAATGCGGGCTTCTAGCACGTGGGGCATGGGCCAAAAGGGGGTTATGGGTCCCCCGAACTCGATTTTTCCGGCTGGTGAAAAAACGATTCTTACGATGTTCTTAAAAAACGAATCTATGGTAAATTGATAAATTCCAAATAGAGTGGATTTTTTGCTAAATGTTGTACTACAGAGTATCTGCGATATTCCACTGAATTTAAAAAAATGGATATTTCGTGAAAGTATTCCTTATTTGATTCAAAAAATTATTCAACAAATAATTTATTATTTGATTCAACTAGTTATTGTTGCCTTCGTCAACAACATGAGGATAGAAAAACTCAGAACTTATGAAAATGCAATGAATTAAGTCCTTTAGAATTTTTTCCGGAAATCCTAGATACTAACTTTTGGGTGGTATTGTCTTGAGAAGTACCTTAAGGTATATCTCTAGAAAACAGGATTTTTTCACGATTGTCTCCGCGTTTTTCACAGATAATGCTTATAATATTTTTCAACTATTGAAAAGAATTCGGACTAGCTCCACTACGTAGTTTAAGGGCATGGGCCAAAAGGGGGTTATGGGTCCCCCGAACTCGATTTTTCCGGCTCGTGAAAAAACGATTCTTACGATGTTCTTAAAAAACGAATCTATGGTAAATTGATAAATTCCAAATAGAGTGGATTTTTTGCTAAATTTTGTACTACAGAGTATCTGCGATATTAAACTCTAAAAAATGGATATCTCGTGAAAGTATTCCTTATTTGATTCAGAATATTAATCAACAAATAATTTATTTGATTCAACTAGTTATTGTTGCCTTCGTCAACAACATGAGGATAGAAAAACTCAGAACTTATGAAAATGCAATGAATTAAGTCCTTTAGAATTTTTTCCGGAAATCCTAGAGACTAACTTTTGGGTGGTATTGTCTTGAGAGGTACCTTAAGGTATATCCCTAGAAAACTGTTTTTTTTTCACGATTGTCTCCGCGTTTTTCGTAGATAATGCTTATAATATTCCTCAGCTATTGAAAAAAATTCGGACTAGCTGCACTACGTAGTTTAAGAGATAATAAATAATGAAATGCGGGCTTCTAGCACGTGGGCCATGAGCCAAAAGGGGGTTATGAGTCCCCCGTTCTTACGATGTTCTTAAAAAACGAATCTATGGTAAATTGATAAATTCCAAATACAGTGAATTTTTTGCAAAATTTTGTGAGTATCTGCGATATTCAACTCTAAAAAATGGAAATTTCGTGAAAGCGTTCCTTCTTTGAAGCGCGGTTTATCGGGCCCAGTAACGAAAATAGTTATTTCATCACGCTGTGCGAAAAAGTAACTTTTTAGACATGCTTCGCGTGCCTAAAACGTCCCTTTTCCGCACATTATGATGAAAAATATCGTTCGATACTCGTGGAAAAAGTACTTTTTGGCTCGTGGCATTATATCACTCGCCTTTGGCTCGTGCTACAAAACCTCCCTCGAGCCAAAATAGTATATTTCGTTACGAGTGCGGAAAAGTGTTTTTAGGCTCGTGGGAGGTTTATAGCACGAGCCAAAGGCGAGTGATATAATGCCACGAGTCTAAAAACACTTTTCCCACGGGTATCGAACAATATTTTTCATCACAATGTGTGGAAAAGAGACGTGTTAGGCACGCGAAGCGTGCCTATAAAGTTACTTTTTCGCACAGCGTGATGAAAAACTGTTTTCGTCACTAGGCCCGAAAACCGCAATTTAATCGAGCGAAGCGAGGTTAAAAACGCGGTTTTCGGGCCTAATGACAAAAAATATTGTTCGACACACGGCCGTGGGAACTTTTCTACCTCATATGATTACAGAACTCGCCTTCGGCTCGCCCTACAACCTCATATTCGCCAAAATAAGTTCCTCACGGCCTAGTGCCGAAATAGTATATTTCCGCACTCGTAACGAAATGTACTATTTCGGCCTGGTCACGAAAAATACTATCGAATTAATCGATATCCAATCGATCTTAGGATCGAAGTATCGACTCCCCCGTTATATCGCCCAAAAATATCGATTATCGGACCGTGGAATATCGATATTCTGGATAATCGATGTCCCATAATCCCCACTCCCTAGTGTTCCCCACACATGAAGACGAAGTTAGTGTGTCAGTATCGAGTGGGACAGTGCACTACAAGAATTATCAAAACAACTCCAAAAAGTCGCGAAACAAATCATCAAACGGAGTGACAATAGCCCCAGTGGATGACAGAACCCGGTGAAATGTGTCCCACGCCCGGATTTTGGTATCCACCAGTTCTCCGGTGTCCGTAGGCAGCAAGGGCGGCGTGGAACCGACGAGGTAAATACATGTATACATAGTGGATCAATAAATTATTGGAAATAGGATATTTCCCCGGAATATCCCGCATTGTCCGACAGAAACCGTTAAAAGCCTCTGAAAAAAGGGGAAAAATAATTTCACGTCTTTCTCGTGGCATTCAGCGAGAAAGTCATGAAGAAATTTGGGAAAATCGATCGTAACCTGACAAGAAATTGATGTTGGGTGTCTTCGGGAAGTCTCGAGTGACACAAATGGAATAATAATCACAGCGGTACGTGATATCACTCCGAACCTTCGAATTTATCTCAAATCATCTTGAGGAATTAGTGGTTTCATCGATGATGTGGCTCGGAGGAATTTAGAGAGGTTTTTTACATGTTTTGCTTTTGTCCTTCAAGGTGATGATGATGGAAGAGTAGATGCGCCTCATGGCTGGAGGCACTGGCACCGGCAAGAGGGGAAATTTTTACAGTGGAGACTGGACATGTGAGAAAAAGACTGGTCAGTCGGTTTTTCAAAGAGATGGATTAAGTGAAACGTTTGAGAGACGAAAGATTGTTGAGAACAGACGTACTTACATTCATAACATTTCTACACTCCAGCAGAGTATACTTAGGTAATTCTCCGATTTTTTTATGAATTGTTACATTTTTCTTCAACAACTTGGTTTTTTCTTTCGGGAAATTGAAGCTGAAGGGTATTTTGTTGGAAATTTCATGGGAATAGGGGCACTGTTAGTCAATTACTGCTGAAAGTTCACGTATAAAATCTTGAAATTTTTAACTATGAATAATTCACATGACATTTTCGGATACTGACAATTCGATTTGGCTTCAACAATTTGTTTCTCTTGGACTATTGAAGCTCAAGAGTATTTTGTTGGTGATTTTATTGGGAACAGGTGCACTATTAGAAAATTACTCCTGAAATTTCAAGGAGAATTCGGAAAATTCACCAGAATCTTGAAATTTTTAACAATGACGAATTCACAAGAGAATTTCTCATACTGCCAAATTAATGAATTTGTGGGATATTCAAATGTATTGTAATTATTGTAAATCGTCAAACTTCAGGCAACTGTTGCACCGAATTTCCAATCTCTTGAAAATTCAATTAGGAGAGAGTGGGGTAAAATGGACACTTTAAACTTTTGTTCTAATGACTCATAATTGAGAAACAAATTTATGAATTGAGCTCAGTTAGGCTCATCACAAAGGGAAAGGCTTGTTCTTTGCAATGAAAAAAATATTATTAAATTTTATCAACATTTTAACCCGTCATTAGCATTTTAAAGAAAGTCAAAAGTGTCCGTTTTACCTCAATCACCCCTAAATCTGATATTTAATTTTCAAAACGAGTGTGAACGAGTGTGATTCAAGCTATCATTAAAAAAAATCAGCTTGTTGAATCTCCAAGAGGAATGAAAAATTCCACAAACTTTTTGATCTCAAATAGAACTCCAATTCACAACATTAAAAATCTTAACGCAGATATTGCTTCATTTAATACAAATTTCGAATTGTGGGGGATGTTTTTTATTTTGTGGTAATTATTACTCATTTTTTAGAATCTTTTCGGAGTGTCTGCATTGCGATCTTTACATTATACACGGATCATACGTACTACAAACAAACACTTGTATCATTAAGACAAGATCTCCGAAAGTGTATGACATCTTGGAGAGTTATTTCGTTGATGAGGGGAGACCGAGCAAATGCGTTCTACATTCGTTGGATATTTTTCATCAGGTCCAGGATTTTGTGAGGTAACGACCCCTGACATTATTACGTATTCTTGTGAATTTATTAAAAATTGTCGAAGAATTTAGATGATGAGACGTAAAAAAAGATGAACCTCAAGATAAAATTAGGAAAAAGCCAGTTGATGTCGATTTTGCTCTGTAAAAATTATTTGACTTGATTTTTCTCATTTTTGTTTTGTCTTTTTCAATACATATTCTATAGAAAAAAAAAGCATTAATTTCCTTTTTTCTATGACTTATTCTATTTCGATATTTTCTATAGAAACTCTTGGATATAAATTTTCAAAATTTCGAAACCACTGAAAACAGTCAAAAAATTCCTGAAACAGTTTAGAAAATTCTTGCCGAAGAATTTCTCCATAAAAAAACTCAAGAGAAAAAAATAAGAGAAAAAACATCGAGAAGGAGAACAACAAAAAGTCCCTTCCCCACTGAATTTCCCCTCTCATAAAACTCAACTCCTAAAAATCCCCCAACAAATTCCAGATTACTCTACTGCAACTTGGACCCCACCCGCGAGGAGCAGTACCTCCTGCGCCAGCTGGCCCCCGCCCGAAATGAGTCTCCCTCCCCAGTGGCGCCCTTACCGAGCGATGTGGACCTAACTCCAGCCTCAGAAATGGCAGACTCCGGGCTGGAGACCGGTTCCTTCAGTCTCCAAGAGACCACAGAGTCCGAGAACTCAGGCACAGACTTCGAGGAGTCCCACATAACGGACTACATCTCGACAGACGACGACTTCATCAGAGTCTCGATAACAGGAGACATCGAGCGAGCAAAGACGCAGAATGCAAGACCCCAGGTTCCCCCAGACGGCGCCCTAGAGCCTCCCAGAGCGACTGATTGTCCCTGTGTGGGCACAAGGCAGAACGCCTCGTCGTCAGGCTGTTCCTCCCGAGACGATCACGACGAAAGGACGTGCGACGCCCCCTCAAAATACGAGAACGAAGTGTCGAACGACTTCTACGACTCAGACCCCAACGACAACGACCAGGGCTCATCCTTCGTCCCCACAGGCTCCTTCGAGTTCATCGAGCCTGAGAACCCCTCGCCCACGCCCTCCCCCCGCCAAAAGTACATCCTAAACAACCCGGAGGAAAAGTCCCCGAAGCCCGAGGCCAGAAGCATGATCGTGGAGAACCTCCAGCACGAGCTGTCGCACTCGAACGACCCCTCCCTGAAGAAGAGTTCCTCCAGCATAAACAGCTACTACTTCATCGACGCATCAAGCCTGAACGACGAGCCCGACGTCTCCCTGCTGCTCTCGAAGGCGGAAAAATCCGGAACATCCCTCCCCCCGTACCTCGAGGACTACATCCCCTCGAGAACCGACGTGGAGGACCAAAAGCCCAGGAAGTCCTCCCTCCAGATGCACCAGGAGAACGTCGCGGAGTTCCAGCGCGAGTTGAAGCTCACAGAATACCTGGAGCCCATATCAGAGCCGAGAAAGGTGAAGCGAGTGGACTCGAAAGCCGAGGAGAGGGCTGAGAAGGTCATTGAGAAGGAGTCTCTGGTCGTGGAGATCAAGGAGGCTGACAGTGGTGAGAGCAACCACCCCTCGCCCTGCATCGACAACAATAAAAAGGCGAGGGAGAACGAGGCCAACGAAGTCTCCCTGACGAACGACATGTTCGAGGGGACTGTCAACACCTCTGGCGACTCCCGGAGGTCTTCCCTAATACGAGGAAACACCTTTGAGTTGGAGTCAGGGGACGAGAAGCTGTCGAACCTTCGTCAGGAGTACGAACGTCGTCAGGGGAACTTAATCTTCAAGAGCTCGATCCCTCAGTACTCTGGGCACAGGGTGGACGACGACTTGATGTCCTCATCCTCGAACTACTCGATTCCTTACCCAGACTCGCCGAAGAGGAAGGACCTGGTGTCGACAGCTGAGAGCAATGGGGTCTGTGGGCTGTTGACGAAGAGTGCGAGTGACAAGAACCTCGCAGAGTGCTCGGAGACTGACGACAGCTCCATAGCAGACTGCACCAGTCTCCCAGCGACCTTCGAGCCCCACTTCATGTCCAGCAGGTCTGGGACACTGAAGAGACCCAGGAGGGACGAGATGACGCCGATTGTGTCTGGTGGGGTGAGCTCGGTGGACTACTCGAGGCCTGTGGACAGCCCCACAGTCAGGAGGAAGACCGAGTCGACTCCGATAGTGTCAGGGGGTGCTGTTCTCATGAATTCTCGTGTGGAGAAGGTGGGGAGACCCACGAGGATGTCCTCCTCGATGACGACGTGGGTGGTGGACATGAGCGACTGTGGGAAGGCTCAGAAGACCAACAGCTCCCTGGGGGACATGTCCCAGAGCTTCTCCTCGGCGGACTGCATCAGCAAAGGGCTCAACAGGTCCAAAGGGAGTCTAGGGTTCTTCGTGAATCTGAAGGACATCGATTCTCCGAAAGACGAGAAGACTGGCTCTACCAGGAGGGATGAGGCCACCCAGTTCTTCGTGGATTTCTCGTCTGAAACGTCGAAAACGAAGAAAGAGACCAATGGGAGGACGAAAACTCCAGACAAGAAGAACATCTTCTCGATGTTCATCGATCTGAGCGACTCAGACACAGGGAAAAACCAGGGGAAACCTGGCAGGGCACAACCGAGGAGCTCGGATGACAGTGGGAAGGAGGGGGGGAGCGAATCCTCACAGGAGTCCAGGTCTGCTGAGAAGAAGAGTGTCTTCATGTATATTGAGTCTGACTCTCCAGTGGTTCGGCGAAGGACTTTATCAACTTCCAAGCCCAGTTTTCAGAGGCACTCCTGGAATGTGGAGAAGGTCCAGGGGAATGGGCTCAAGGAGGCGCCCTTTCGCAAGGAGCACAAGCGAGCTAGATCGGCGTCAATTGACCCAGAGGTTCAGAAGAAATTATCCAAAAATACTGGGTCTGCTGGCTCGCTGGATCAAGAGAAGTCTCAAGCCCCTGCTGCTGCTCCTCAGGAGGCTGTGAAGCCTGAAGCCCCAGAAATCCTAGATTACGAGATCAGGGACACTCCCCCAAACTCCCACGTGGAGATCATCAATGAGGACATATCTCGCTGTGCGAAGAGGAACGAGTTGAAGGAGCTCATGAAGAGTGACATGGGCTCCAGCACAGAGGCATCAGTGGACCCGAAGGCTGAGGACGACCCCTCGGACGTATCTGTCTGGGAGAAGACAGGCACTGAGAGCACCGAGGGCCACACGAGGAAATCCGAGACCTTTGACATCAGCAGTGGGAGCGCCAGTGCCAGTGGTCCGTCCTCCAGTGACAACCAGGAGTTCGAGATATCGGAGTACAGGAAGGAGAGGCTACAGGAGGTGCCCAGCAAGGTCTCAGAGACCCACAAGTCCCTGACGAACACCATAAAGAAGATCGAGGATGAACTCGAGGACGACTTCGACGACTCCCAGAAGACGATTCCAGACAGCAAGGAGCCAGCCTCCTGCTCTGGGTTCGTGAGGCTCTCGGATCTCGACAAGACCCCAGCGAAGGTGGAGATCACGGCCTCGGAGGACACCACGAGAATCACGAACCTCTCGTACAGGATGAGCAAGAGCATCCCTGAGACGTCCTGGGTGGAGAGCAAACTGGCCCTGAACAGGACGAATGGCCCCTGTGCAGTTCGTACCTTGAGCACCAGGAAATTCACCTCGATAATGAGTACATCGCTGCCTGCTAAGCACAAGTCCCCGATTGACGAGTTCCAGAACGACCTCGACCCTGAGATGATCTCAGAATCAGACATCAGCAGCATGCAATCGAGCATGGGGCGGTCGGGGGCTGACGTCAGCACCGAAGAGACTGAGACCTCGTCCTTCGCCAATGTCAAGCCCTACAACAGACTTGGGGAGGACCTCCTGAGGATGTTCCTGGAGGAGATCAACCCCGACGTCACGATAGACGTCAGTGGCAGGAGGATCAGGGCCCACAAGTGTATTTTAAGCTCCAGGTGCCAGTACTTCGCAGCTATTCTCAGTGGCGGGTGGATCGAGAGCGCTGGGAACGTCATCTCCCTGCAGGGGTACTCGTACCCTTCAGTGCACTTCGCTCTCTGTCACATATACAGCGGTGAGAGCAATATTCCTGACTCGATAAGCATCGTTGAGCTGGCAACACTCGCTGACATGCTGTGCCTCGAGGGGCTGAAGGAGGTCATTGGGTACACTCTCAAGGTGAAGTACTGTCATCTGTTCCACAAACCTTGTCAGCTCTGTGCTGTTGGGGTGCTCGAGTGTCTTCCACTGGCAGCTGCCTATGGCCTCGACGAGGTCTACAGGAAGTCCTTGAGGTGGATCACCAGGCACTTCGTCAGGATCTGGCCCTGCAAGGCCTTCGCCACTCTTCCAAGAGAGCTCATGGACAAGTGCTACCATCAGCACATCGTTCACATGTCAGCTGACAACGTTCTTCAGACTATTATGGATTGTGATAAGCTGCTGGCCACATTGCCCAACATTCGGTGGGCAGAACCAGTCTTCAGGATAGTCTCGAATCTCCTGGAGACCGGGCTCAAGTTCCTGAGTGACAACTTCTCCTCGGTGCTGAGTAATGACAGCTTCCAGGCGCTCGGGAGGGACTTGACTTGGAACATCAGCAGGCTGGAGGATAATGTTCTTGCAGCTGCTGACAGACTCCCTCCTGACCAAGCCTGCAGGAGCTACTCGAAGTTATTCAAGATGCTGGGGACCGTTGGGGGTGAGGACCACAAGCAGTGGAACCCCCTCTTCGTGGAGTTCCTGAAGAAGATACAGGGGAGGGTGGAGAAGTGCCTCGTTAAGGAGGCCCCCAGGGCCGCAAGGACCACCACCTGGCTGAAGATGGATCTGGAGCTGCGGAGGAGGATCCAAGAGCTCGCCTGCCTCGTCATCCTCCCCCACGAGGGCTTGAAGAGGCCCACGAGGCACTCCAACTTCGTCAAAGAGTCGAAGGCTCTTGGTAAATCCTCGGGGAGCAGAAGCGTCGATCTCAGGAAAGTTAAGATGACGATTTCAGATCAAACATCCAGTGCTTCGAAGCCCAGCACCAGTCAGCCGAAGAAAGTCATGATTAAACCGAAGACAGATCCTCTCGAACGAAAGATGCAGGAGACCAGGGCTGGTGGTCAAGGGGAGGCCACGATGAGGCCCAAGTCGTGGCCGAATAAACTGGAAGTCAAGTCTAGGTATTTGGAACCCAGGACGAAGTCAGTGCCCAAGGACTCTGTGGCCCCCAGTTTACCTGAGAGAATGGCAGTCCAGCAGAGGAGGAAGATCATGATATCCTCCTCTGACTCCTCGAGGACGTCCAGTCCGGCTATGAAGAGGGCTGTCGACAAGAAGCCCCCCACGAAGATGAAGTTGTCGGTGAAGAAGGATGTGAAGGCGTTGTCCACTGATAGTTTGACTGAGTCCTGCAACGTCAAGAGTGTGAAGAAGGATGCCTCTGTGAGCAAGAGCTGTGGCATCACCAGGCCAGAGTCACCCTCGATGAGGGCGAAGGAGGGGGACATTGGACTCTCTGCTGACTCCTTGGCTGAGGTGAAGAAGAAACCTGCCGCTGTGAAGAAGGCCTCGGGGAAGATGGACACGTCGATGTCCACTGACAGTCTTATGGCTGAGGTCAGTGGGAAGACTGCGACCAATAAGATATCCCCGACTCTGGGGGGGGCGGGGAAGCCCCAGGAGAGGGTCAAGAAGTCCCCGCCGATGGTGCAGAAGAGCCCCCTGAGTGTCGTCAGGAGGCCTGTCAGGTCTATCGAGAGCTCCACTGCTGCCAGCAGGAATAGGGCTGCTGCCACTAGTGTTTATCATGGGTCGCCCAGTCTCAGGAGGAATCTGCTGGATGCTGCCAAGACGCCTGACCTTGGGAGGACTGTCAATGGCGGGTCCAGGGTCAGCACCAGGCAGAGCACACCTTCCACGAGCACGCCGCCTGTGGGGAAGAGGGAGAAGAGGGACAGTAATGCGTCGAGCAGTGAGAGCCCTAGCAAGAGGTCTCCGAAGATGAATGGGGTCAGTCGACCGCTCAGGGTCGTTGGGAAGAGACCGGTCAAGCCGGAGGAGAAGAAGAAGGCGGACGCCGTCAAGCTGGGGGTCGGCTCCAGGTCGGGGACTTTCTTGAAGGATGGACCCACGATTCTTAAGAAGGCGGATATGAAGACCACGCAGGTCATGTCGTAAGAGGGGGAGAGAAGATCTTTTTCATTTGGTGACGAGATGAGGGTCTTCAGGGGTTTGGAGTAGACGGGGGAAGGGGCATTGCAGTGAGATAATACATTGTTTTTTATGAATGGTCTGTTAGCTCGGAGGAACATTTATTTCTGCAAAATCGAGTTTCGCGAATCGAGTCATTTTCTGTCGAGAATCATTAGGTTGTCATTGTGATCATTATGTTGCTCTAGAGGAGGATTACTGTGGCACATGACTTGGGATGAACTTCTACAATGATTATTCACGTATGAGAAAATTTAGTAGAAAAACCCAGTGAATTCGATGGAAAATTCTATTGGATTTCTGTTGAACTTTCTGTGGCTTTCTATTTTTTTACCGAGTCTATTAAAATGTTCTACTGAAAAAATCAATAGAATTAATTTTTTAATTATTTTTTCTATACAACTCATTCTATTGAGATATTTTCTACCTAATTTCCTCGGCTCGAATTTTCTTAGTTTTTTGTTTGACTTTCTTAATGAAAAGAAAAGGAAAATAGAATGAAAAAAAACGTTGAAAATTGAGCCGAAGAAATTCTACAGAAAATATCTCAATAGAATAAGTTTTATAGAGAAATCTAATTCTATTGACTTTTTGTATAAAATATTTTCTGTTGAACATTTCGATAGAATCGGCGAAAAATTAATAGAAAGGGCAATAGAATTGTCTAACGAATTCGCTCGGTTTTTCATTTTCTAAAGGGAAGAATTTCGATTAATTTTTTAATGTTGATAATTACTGAGGGATTTCACTCAAGATCATAACTAAAGTGATCATCTTCTAGAACAATACAATTGTGATAATTGAAACCTAATGAGAATTGCCTAGCAATAACTCAAATGGATAAATACGGTATTGAAAAAATTTATAATTCTCTGAAGTAAATGGATAGTTGGAAAACATAATTTTTTTTCTCAGCGTGAGTTGGGTCCGATGGCCATTAGAAGATTATGGCGATGGTGAGGGGTTCTGTAAGGAAATACACATACAAAAATTTATAGAAAAACCTAGCTTTCTATCAAAAATTCTATTGAATTTCTGCTGGAAATGGGTAACTTTCTCTTGGAGTTTTATTAGAATTCTATTAGAAAATTCCATTTGTTTTCGCGTCATTTCTGTAGGAGATTATGCAACCTTATCGTCTCATTTTATTAAGAAATATTTGATGGAAAAAGTCAACAGATTTTGATTTTTCCATAAAAATTCTTAGGTGTAAATTTTCCAAGTTTTTTCGCTATATTTTTATTTTTTTCTCATAATGAAAAACAAGAAAAAATCCCGACAGAATAAGTTAGATAGAAAAACCAACATCTGTAGATATTTTTCTATAAACAAATGTCTATTTAACAACGCGAATTGGCGCAAAAACAAATAGAATTTTTAAATATAATTCTTATGGAGTTCTTTTTCTGTTAATTTTTTTCATACGTGAATGTCGAGACATTATTTGGAGAGAATTTCTGGAGGTGCAAAAGAGATTTCTTTACATTATTTCTTGTTGGATCGAGACAGTTGAGGATTTGCATGATTTTTTTTTGAGTACGGAGATGTGAAGCGGATGAGAAATATTAGAATTTTTTTATTCAAGTAACTAATGGAAAAGTGACTTCGTAATGCAGTCGTTCTTTCAATTGACTGTTATTTCTTAGCTTTTCGTGATTTTTCACGATGACAATTTCGTATCTATTTCTAATCCATATTTTTTGTCCACTTTTCATGCTTTGTTCGATGAAAAATTTTCGTGCAAGTCAGTAACTGTTAACAAGATGTGAATTGCGTATTTCACGAATTTAATGCTTTGTTCAATGTTTTGTTCATTTTGAAAACATTAATTGTTAATTTAATGTTTCGCTTATTTCGAAAACTAGTCATTTTAGAAGGAAATCGCAGAGGAACTTTTTGCAGATGACGAAATTTCCAACAAAAAATCTTTTCTCACTTTTTCTTGTAGGATGAATTCTTACTGAGATAATTCCACATTTGACTCACATTTTACTCATGAATGGAATTTGATATTCGTAAGTGGACGTTTATCTTAAAAACGAATTGTTCTAGGACAAAAAGTCTGAAGACATTTTTTGCCAGAAATTTTCTCATCTGCAAAGTACTTCTTCTCACATTTGCCCCTAAAACCCCTCACTGTCAACATAATCCCATTCAAAATCAAATGAGAATGAAATCGTCAATTTGTTCTATCATCCGACATTTGACCACTTCATCCTGAATATTCTACTCCCTATCCTCAAGAAATCGATTGAAAATTCAAAAAATAAAGCAAACATATTTCCCCAGACCCAAAAAACACTTAAAAATTCCCTAAAATTCATCGCATTCTGAAATTTCCAATGAATTGAGGGAAGTTCTTGGGTTCTGATCACAAGCCTCGAAACTTGTGAAAGTGATAATTCCACGTGAGCAATACGTTAATCGTCCTATGTAAATTACCGAAGAAGAAAAAACGTTGAAACTTCTGGCTTTACGAATGGTTTTAATAATGCATGACGTGAAGGCATTTATCAATTACATGTATAGATACAAAAATGCGTGTGCTATGAATTAACCGAGTACTTGCCAACGTAGGCAGTCCAAAGTAGATAATTTTTTCTTTTGAATCTTGATTTTTTACTCGAAACTATCATTTCGCCCTCTCCCTTTGCAACTTTCTCGACTCTAAGTAAAAAATTCCATGAGATAAAACAAAAAACGAAAGAAGTTATTGAAAAATTAATCATTGATTGTTAAGTGGCTACATACTTAGAAATTACATAGATATTTAACGGCCAGTTGCTGATGCGTTAGATTAAAATTAATATTTCACACAATTCGATTGATTAATTATTGAAGTTTGAGAGATTGGGGTTGAATTTTTGATGAAAAAGAGAATATGAATTTTTGTTCGATTTAATCTAGTGAGCTTTGCCATTCACTGAACTTATTTACCATTTTTGTGGCCAATGGAACATGGCTTTTCGTTTTTGCCTTTTTTCGGGGAGTAGACAGGAAGAGTTGAATATAATCCTGCCAATCGCAGTGCAGAGAAGCTGTCATGCAGGACATGTTATGATTGGCAATTTTCCATTATTCAACGTATCGTGCTGATGAAAAATACGGGGGGCACTTCAGGGGAATTTGAGACTAGAGGTGATTCGTGGCCATTTCAATGCGCAAGTTTATGTTCTCAGTGTATTTATTTATCGAGACATTGATATTGTTTTGCATTTGCAATGTACATTTATATGCAATATTTGTATCTAGTCATTTATATATTTTCAATCATTTGAATTTAATGTAAACGTTAATGATAAATATTTAAATACAACAGTAAAATTATGAAAATGTTGGTGACATTTATTGGAAACCTAGAACTCCCTATTTTTTATTGGATTAAATGTTATGAGAGTGAGTTGACACAATTTTTTTAATTATTCTAGAAATGCGTAAATTTTGCTAAAAAATAAAATTTCATTTCAAAAATATATTTACTTGAATTTTCTTGATTTCTATCAATTTTTATGGAATAATTGAACTGAAATTTATAATTTCCATTGATTTTACCGTAAATTATTGAATTTTTGGGGACTATGCGATGATTAAACATAATGGATTAAATATAATGAGAGTGAGTTGACACGAATTTTTTAATTATCCTGAAAACGAGTAAATACTGCTAAAAAAATTAAATTTAATGGATACATTGATTGTAATTTTCGATTAATTGAGAATTAAAAAATACATTTACTTGGATTTTCTTGATATCTATCAATTTTTATGGAATAATTGAACTAAAATTTATAATTTCCATTGATTGTTTCGTAAAATTTTCAATTTTCGACTGTCACGATAATTCAATAAGACGCAATTTTTCTTTATTAAAACTTGAGAGATTGGGGTTGAATTTCTTATGAAAAAGATAATATGAATTTTTGGTTAATTTACTCTAATGAGCTTTGCCATTCATTGATCTTATTCACGACTTATTATGATCAATGAAATATGGCTTTTCGCGTTCTTTCGGAAACTATACGAGGATTAAACATAATGGATCAAATATAATGAGAGAGTGAGCTGGCATACATTTTCTAGCGATCTCAGAAACGAGTGAATACTGGACAGATGATTCATGTAAAATTGTCAATTGTCAAAATCAAAGAAGACGTGCGCATCACATTTTTCAATGTACCCATCAAATTCAATCACAAAATATCGAAATCTCAAGTTGTACAGTATCATTCTATTATCTGCACCCGAAATAAATTGAGTAAAAAAAATAACCACTTTAAAAAATGATGCATAAGTTACCATTTTCAATTAACAATTCAAAAAACCATTCACTTGAATTTTCTCGGCACAATTGAACCAAAATTTCTGCCCCCAATTTTTTCAAATCAAGATAAATTCCCACCCATTGCAGAAACTCACGTTATCGACTGCCGCAATTCCCGATTTCCCGGCAACGTTCCTCCAATCGATAACGCAAAAACCGGATCGCAATGGCAACAGTCAAATTCAGAATAATTACAACAATGAAGTAAGCGTTACGATCAAAGCCCTCCCGTCGCATTTTTCAACTCTCCCCGAATGATTCCTTCTCTCCCGGACTTGAATGAACCCCGCATTCCGCACTCAACAAGTTCTGGAAATTTCTTGAGCCGATGTCGCCATGTTGGAGAAAAAAATCCTCCTCCTCCGTAAAAATAAAAGGCTAAGGCAAGCCTAGAACGCGCCGCAGGCCGCAGATCATAACAGTGCATAACAGGTCGACCGTCGGTGTGCGCGGTCGTGTATTCTCTCGTTAATAATGAAGCGTAAAAATGTGACGAAAAATTGCCGGTGATAAATAATAAAGGTAAACCAGTGCTACAGTCAGCGACACTCGTGATTTTGACGTACGATCAGCCGTGATAATGTTGCATACGTGTTGTTCAGTAATTGTATCGTGGAGGAATGTAAATAAACCGTTGATTAGGTGACTGATTACCCATTAATCACGCATATTGAGGAACGAATATGCTTGTGGACAGATACTCTGGTCAAGTGGAAATCCAAAGGTATGTGCAATCGTTATTCAACTACACCTGCATTTACACCTGGAATTTCTCGATACGAGGGGAAACATACGTGCAGTGTCTCCTTGACGCTTGGACTCGGGAAAATCATTGAGTTTTTTTTTAATCATTAATCTGTATTGGCGTTCAACTGGCTCAGTGATGTTGGACACTGGGCTTTGGTAGCTACTTGTCAAATGCCGAGATTTATCCAGTTTCGCTCCATAATCACGAGCTTATCGGTTTTTTTTTTAACTGCTGTCGAGTTGTTTTGACAGCGTATTTTTCTTTTTTTTGACATTTATAGTGTTGTTAGTGTTGAGGGCATTTATCAGGGTTTGACCTAATAGCTTTGTTAGTTGGGGGATTAATTTGTTTTGTGGAGAATTAATTGATTTGGCGGAGTGGAGGGAAATTTTCAATAGAGAATGGAAAAACATGAGAAAACGTCAACAGAATTCGATTTTTCTATATAACTTATTCTCTTCAGGTATTTTCTATAAGATTTCCTCGGATCAAATGTTCTAAATTTTAACTATTCCATCTTTTTATCCAGTTTCACTCCGTAATCATGAGCTATCGTTTTTTTAAACCGCTGTCCAGTTGTTTTGATACCGTATTTTCCTTTTTTTCTACATTTATAGTTTTATTAGTGTTGAGGGCATTTATCAGGGTTTGACCTAATAGCTTTGTTGGGGGATTAATTTGTTTTGTGGAGAATTAATTGATTTGGCGGAGTGGAGGGAAATTTTCAATAGAGAATGGAAAAACATGAGAAAACGTCAACAGAATTCGATTTTTCTATATAACTTATTCTCTTCAGGTATTTTCTATAAGATTTCCTCGGATCAAATGTTCTAAATTTTAACTATTCCATCTTTTTATCCAGTTTCACTCCGTAATCATGAGCTATCGTTTTTTTAAACCGCTGTCCAGTTGTTTTGATACCGTATTTTCCTTTTTTTCTACATTTATAGTTTTATTAGTGTTGAGGGCATTTATCAGGGTTTGACCTAATAGCTTTGTTGGGGGATTAATTTGTTTTGTGGAGAATTAATTGATTTGGCGGAGTGGAGGGAAATTTTCAATAGAGAATGGAAAAACATGAGAAAACGTCAACAGAATTCGATTTTTCTATATAACTTATTCTCTTCAGGTATTTTCTATAAGATTTCCTCGGATCAAATGTTCTAAATTTTAACTATTCCATCTTTTTATCCAGTTTCACTCCGTAATCATGAGCTATCGTTTTTTTAAACCGCTGTCCAGTTGTTTTGATACCGTATTTTCCTTTTTTTCTACATTTATAGTTTTATTGGTGTTGAGGGCATTTATCAGGGTTTGACCTAATAGCTTTGTTGGGGGATTAATTTGTTTTGTGGAGGATTAATTGATTTGGTGGAGTGGAGTTCCATAAGACGGGGGATTTAATGCATCAGCCACTAAAAAATTTAATAGAAAAATCTAGCGAATTTGGTAGGAAATTCTATTGGATTTCTATTAAACTTTGTATTATTTTTTGGCCGATTCTATTGAAATTTTCAATAGAAAATATAAAAAAATGAAAAAAATATTGAAATGTTTGATAGAAAAAGTCAATAGAATTCGATTTTTGTAGATAACTTATGCTCTTCAGATATTTTCTATAGAATTTCCTCGGATCAAATGTTCTAAATTTCTTCAATTCTATTTTTCTTCTTCTAATCAAGAAAATGAAACAAAAAACTTTGAAAATTTGAGCTGCGTAAATTCTACAGAAAATATCTCATTAGAATAAGGCATAAAGAAAAATTGAATTCTATTGACTTTTTCTATTGAACATTTCAATAGAATCCGCCAAAAACTAGTAAAAAGTCCAATAGAAATCCAATAGAATATTCTAACGAATTCGCTAGATTTTTCTATTAAATTTTGTAATGCGTGACTGAGAGAAAAATATCGTAGTTTCTACGGAACATGTTATTGGATGCATGTTCTTTCGTATCAAAATAGAATTTCATTGTTTTAACGTTCTAACTCTTCATTTTAAGAGTGGATTCCTTAAAGAGCGGAGATAACGAAATATTCCTTCCTTGAATTTCCTTAAATGACAAGACAAGACAAGAAATACGTAATTCTTCTGAAATACGTAATTCTTGTCTTGTATTGTCTTCCAGCATCACTAATCTCCGGCGGAGTAAAGCTTTGATAAAAAATATCTTTCATATTTTCGAATAGAATTTACAATTTCGATTTGAATCAGATCAGATTCATTTCAGTATTGTCTAAGGACAATAAAATCAGCTGCAATTTCTGTCTTCTGTCTTGTCAAAAAGGTCTGTCGATATGTTCTTCTGAAATTACTCATCGTCAAGATAACGAACTGTGAGACATCAGGTCGTTTCTGTAAATTTGATCACTTCTCCACTATCTAATTGAAAAATGCACCTCTTAAGCTATTTCCATTAATGATTTCATAGTCGTTTAAAATTCATCTTTTCATTCATGACGAAAGAATTTTTCACACTAGCAAAAATTGAATTCCGAAACAGAAAATTATGAAATTCATTTTGTTTCCCAGATGAATTTGCTGATATACAGTGGACTCGGAGGCTCTGTGATTCTCCTCATAGCACTATTTGGCCTAGGAACAATTATTAAAATAATTTTATGCCTCTTCGTCTTAATCTTAGGGTAAGTAAGCCTGAGATCATCACACCGCCTCGATTTCTCACACAATCTTTCTCCTTTCAGAACATTAACTTGTATATACCGAAAATATGCGCCAAACCTCGAGGAGAATATCAAACTCAACCGAGAAAACTTATTCAAGAAGACTGAAAAACTACAACGGGTAAATTTACCTAATTCTTAAATTCTTTGCAAAGTCGAGTTATTTCACATCGACAGAATTTTTTGCTGAATATATTGGCATTCAAGGGGTCAGCAAAAATTCATTGAATTTTATAAAATGAAAGCTCATCGTCCTTCCTATTACGTATGAAAAAATTTAGTAGAAATACCTAGCGACTTCGCTGAACAATTCAATGGAAAATATTCTACAGACAAAAACAATAGAATTCGATTTTTCTGTACAACTTATTCTATTGAGATATTTTCTATGGAATGTCCTCAGCTCAAATTTTCTAATTTTTTTCTTCTATTTTTCATTTTTTTTCACCCAGAAAATCTATAAAAAAATTGAGTCGAGGGAATTCTATACAAAATATCTCAATAGAAAAAGTTCCTTAGAAAAATCGAATCCTATTGACTTTTCCTAAAGAACATTGTCTATTAAACATTTCAATAGAATTAACCAAAAACTTACAGAACCTTCAATAGAAATCCAATAGAATTGTCTAGCGAATTCGCCAGAAGAAATCATTCTTCAAGAGGACAAAATCATTATTATATTTTCAAACTGACAAAAAAAAAATTCAAACAAGTCTCGTCTGAGAGCAATTTTTCCTCTCAATATCAGAATAGCAATTCCGCTCAAAAACAAAACTGTGAAATCCGTCCGATCGCCTCTCCCCCACGTCCGCGTCTCCCGATCAATCAAACCCTTCACTTTTCGTTGACTCATCTCACCCGGCCCCTCTTCTCCCCCCAGACTATCGAAGAGCTCTCGAAATCCAAGGTGACATTCACCCTGGACAAGCGCGTCACCGGTAGCCCAATAATTGACGAGTCCCTCCAGGAGATCCTGGACTTCGTCCTCCGGGACTACGTCGAGCCCTGGTACAGCGTCCTAACCAACGACGACGAGTTCCCCCGTTCAGTCCGCGACACAGCTCAGAAAATCGCGATAAACATTGCGAACCGCGTGAAGGACGTGGACTGGATCCCCTACCTGACGACTCGTCTCGTCGACGACGCGGCGTCCCACATGCGTTTGTACCGTCAGGCCCGCGCCAAGATGAAACCCTCAAAGCCCCCGAAGACGAGTTCCTCGAGCAACTCGAGTGGCACCCCAAAGCGCTCGCCAAGCCACCGGCGAAACAAGAGCGAGACCGACATCTCCTGGTACTCCCAGTCAAAATTCTACATTCCAAACTTGACGTCGTTAACGGAGCCCATAGACTGTCAGAACGACGCGAATAACGACCTCGAGAACATCTTCTTCGACCTGGAAGTCCAGATGGAGAACAACCTGATCAGTCGTGACTTGGTCTGCACGAACGAGGAGCAGGAGCTCTCCTTCCTCCGGGAGTTGTCAGAGATTCTGTTGTATCTACTCCTCCCTAAAACCGACTTCGACTGCTTGACAGTGCGATTCATCCTTCGCGAGCTCCTAGTGAACGTCATAATCATCCCCCTGTTGAACCTCTTCTCAGACCCCGACTACATAAACCAAGCCTGCATATGGCTGTGCACCAAAGACTCGACCCTCCCGAGTGACGTCTTCCTGACGATAATAAGGATAACAGACAGCCTCGAGGAGTTGACCGCCACGGAGAACATCGTGTGCAGTGAGATCGCTCATTTGAGGTCTAAAGACTCTGGCGGAGACGACGATCTGATAGTCAAACAGCAGTTGAACAGTCTTCTGTACGTGAAGAAGATCCTGGAGACGAGGATAGTCAGCATGCAGGACGGTCTCGACGCAGAGACTGACGGCGTTGGTGTCCCACCAGACTGGAATCGTCTCCTCGTCCCAGGCCACAAGCTTGTTAACTTACCGCTGGACGAACTACTTAAGAACAACATCGCTCTCAGCTACTTCATAGACTACATGACCAGCGTCAACGCAGAGGCCTACCTCTACTTCTACTTAAACATTTACGGGTGGAGGGTCTCAGCTGAACAGCAGATATCGGACATAGAGTTGCAAAAGCTACAGTCCAGCAACCAGTCGAGCCAAACTAAAAGGAAGAATGTTAATCTTGAGAATCTTAAGGAAGCGGCTATGAAGATCCATCAGCAGTATCTCGGTGAGAAGGCAGTGACGCGACTGCAGTTGGATGATAACTTGGTCAAGAATCTGCTGACGAGGATCAAGGTAGAGACTGTCAAGGAGACCTGGTTCGATGAGCTGCAGAGCTGCTGCTATGAGAAGCTGAAGAACGAGGACAGGTTCGTAATGAAATTTTCTCTGAGATGCTTTTCACCAGATAAGAAAGTACTCCTTCTCTGGGGTAATCTGTGATCATGGCGATTTACAATTTGCCACGGATGAAAAAATGATATGGGATTGCCTGCAAGACTTCGAACATTTATTATAGGATTTTTAAAATAGGTTTTTTATAGGATTTTCTATAGGATTTCTTGATGGTTTTTTAAAATTGGATTTTCTGTATGATTCTTTAACAGATTCTCTGAAGGATTTCCTATGGAATTTGTCTTGCTGTATTCTCTGTAAGATTTACTGTGAGATTTCCTTCTTAGGGGGTATAAAAGGGATCTATATGGGTTATGTGAGGGTCGTATTGAGCGGTTGCAAGGTTTACAAAAGGAGATTTATTGTTTTTGTTGGATTTCTTGTGGGGATTTTATGAAGATTGAGTGGAGGTCAAGTGAGGGTTTTACAAAGTAATGCTATAGGAAGTCTTATGAAATTTGTAGTTGAGACCAGTAAGAAATCCTGCTAATAAATTCCATAAAAATTATCCAGTAAGAAAACCCCAACAAGAAATCTATAAAAATCCTATAGGAAACCATATTAGAAGAATCCTATGGGAAATCTTTGAAATCTCCATAGGAAATGCTATAGGAAATCCTATAAAAAACCCTACAGATAATCCTATTTAAAAATCCTGTAGAAAATGTTTGAATTCTCGATAGGAAATCCCATAGCATAAATCCCATAACATCCAGTACGAAAAACCAAATAAGAAATTCCACAGAAAATGTTCGAATTCTCTATAGAAAATCCTATAGCTTTTTCTCCCTACGTGTACGATCACAGATAAAACAATTCCTGTGATTCAATACATAATCATAAATTGTTCATTCATGTCATCTCTCAAGAAGTTAGATTCCTTCAAATTCCAAAAATTCCAAAAAATTCAATTTCCCACAGATTCCTCCCTTCGTTCAAGCGATCGATGTCTTACCTTAAACTACTAGCTGAGCTGGACCTCCTGAAGGAGGACGACAGCAAGTCTTTGGATGGGATCAGCCTGTCAAGTATGAACAACGAGGTGGATCCGATGGACGACCTCTCCGGGAATGATCAGGTCAAGTACTCTTCTGGGGACAGTGTGAAGTCGAACTCCAATTCCTCAGCAAGTTTGACGAGCATGGAGAGGGAGAGTGCGGGCTACGACGAGCCTGATGCCGACGGGAATTTCAAGAGACCTTTCGACGTCGAGGGGAGAATTCTCGAGGGCAAGGAGGCGTCGTTCTACCTCGAGGGACATGCGGAGCAGATAATCAAGCTTGACGACGCAGCTTGCGATCAGAATGCCATAAAGAAGCTGCAGCAGGGCAGGTTCGAGATCACTGCGGAGATCATTGAGACTGGGGTTGTCAACGACAGGGGGAAGACCTATGGGATTTATGCTGTTGCTGTCTCGAAGATCTACGACTCTGGGTACAAGGAGAAGTGGCACATCTACAGGAGGTACTCGGACTTTCACGATCTGCATCAGAAGATCAAGGAGAAGTACTACGATCTGGCGAAGCTGCCGTTTCCGGCGAAGAAGGCCTTCCATAACATGGAGAGGGCCGTTCTGGAGAGGAGAATGGCGATGTTGAATGCCTGGTTGTGCAGACTTACGAAGCCCAGCATCACGGATGGTCATATGGGACTGCAGAACATGCTGCTGGCCTTCTTGGAGCAGGGGGAGTATGACAAAGGGGTCACTGGGGGCCACATCTCCAGGACCATTGACACTCTGGTGAATCCTCTGAAGACTTCTATGAAGAGTGTCACGCAGGCCGTTAAGACCATGCCTGATAATATGCTGAGTACTGTGGATGGCGTCATGGATAATATCAGCAAGTTCTTTGGGAATTCCAGGAAGAATAGTGTGCTCTATGAGAGCGTCAAGGTTGGCGCTGGAATTGATGCCGAGGTAAATCTTATGTGTCATTGATCTGTTGCCTTCTTTGTTTGGGATTCATGAACAAGCTGCTGAAGGGGTTTAAATGCGGTTAAATGGGATTAAAGTTAATGCGCTGAGGTGCATGCACGGGAATGCACCTTTGGCGTTTTCAGAGGGGACGAAGAGTCTTGTAGAGAAACGTAGCGGATTCGATAGGAAATTCTGGTGGATTTCTATTGAATTTTTTATTCATTTTTGACCGATTCTATTGGGTTTTTCTATTGCAGGCATTTAAACCTTACGGTTTTTTCTGCAGTAATATTGCAGTGATTTTGTTTGAATTCACACAAATGATAATTCCTTGAATGCATTCCGTTAAACAAGCTATTGGAAAATTCTTACTCTCTTGGAATATTTTCTGTAGAAATTCCTCGGCTCAAATTTTTTGAGTTTTTTTGTTTGAGTTTTTCTTGATGAGGAATGAAGAAGATGGAGTGGAAAGAACTGAGAAAATTCACGTTGAGGAATTTCTACAGAAAAAGTTTTAGGAAAAGATGAAATTCTACTGATTTTTTATATGAAATTGTTTCTATTGGATATTTTCTATGAAAAAACGTAGAGTAGAGCTGCGGAATTGTTTAATACAATCGACCAAAAGCGAATTGAATTTTCAACAGACGTTCAATAGAAATCCAATACAATTTCCTAGGTTTTCTTATAATTTTTTTCGTGTGTGATTTTCTGAAAAAATTGAGGAATATGTCGGGTTCTTTAAAAAAAATCTAAATAAAATTTCGGACTTTTTAGACGTTTAGAAAAAAAGATCTAAAAATTCTCAAGCATAATCATTTTATTCTTTCAATCTATAGAATTTTTTAGAATACTAAAATATTACCAAGGTAATAACAATATTGATAATCATCATTAATTAGTAATATTGGTCCAATAGGTTCAAATGCTCTAAATGAAAATAAAGATCTAATGTTATCAATATTGTCAAAGAGTTGTTGAATTACGTAGTTTTCTTCTGTCTGCTATCTACAAAAGTTTTTAGATTTCAATCGTTTTTTCTATTTAGACGGATGACAACATACCCTTGAGGATTATTCTGCTTCTAATGGACGAAGTATTCGACCTGAAAGTGAGGAATCAATGGCTCAGGCGGAGAATCGTCACACTCTTGAGGCAGATCATTAGAACAATGTTTGGGGACATTGTGAATAGGAGAATTGTAGAATATGTTTCACTGCTGACTAGTCCCAAGAATGTTGCTACTTATCTAAAGCTGTTTAAGTAAGTATTTCGGAGAAAATTGAGGGGGAGTTCAACGAATATTGTTAAATCTTGTCACTTATTCTATTGATTTTCTGTAGAAATTCCTCAGCTGAAATTTTCAAAAAAAATTTGTATCATTTTTTTAATGCAAAGAGAAGAAAAATAACGTGAAAATAACTTGGTTTTTCTCACTAAAATCTAAGTTTTGATTTTTTTTATTGATGGAATTTTTAAAACTGTTCTCATGACGCAAGTCTCAATCGATTGACTTGTTTTTTTCTTTACACATGCAGTATTTATGCATAAATATGACTAAATGAGGCTTTTTGAGAACCTTAATTTTTTTTTTTTTTTTTTAATTTGTAGATTTCAAAAATTTAAATTTTGTCCGCAATTCATACAATTGAAAAATCTGAAAAACTGTTCAAGTTTTTCCAATTTTTAAATTCTTCCAGATTTTTTAATCATTTTTTTCATTATATTCTGAATAAATTATTCGGAAAATCTGAAGAAATTCCTACTCCACTGATTTATGATGTAGTTAAATATTACTAATATTTCAAAATTTTCACCTCTGCCAACTTTGAAAAAAATCTAGAAACTAAAAAACCAGTAATTTTCAAAAAAGCTCACTTGAAAAAAATTTGAGTCCATCAACGTTATTTCCGTCTTCACGACGCAATTATCGACCTAATGGAAACCTAATTTTTTCCTTATTTTTGAACAGTAAAACTGAAATAGTAAACTCATCAGCACGATAAATGAAGGCACCAGAAATAAATTTTTTCATTCCTCAGACAAAGTCAATGGCCAAATGGTGCGAGAGCAGAAGCAAGACCTCCCCGAGACAGCGAGACAAAAAATCGAACTCGAGTTGCAGCTAAAATTGCCCTCCTCTCCTGCCTATCCGACGAATTGAAACATATCATTGGTAGTGAAACAACAAGATGTGGACTATTACGTGTATTTGAGTTATTTCAACGTCCAGTACTCAACAGAAGACTGCTCTATGTTCTACTAGAAGGTATTATTGAGAATCTATTCCCCCAGAATGACTTAGTAACCATCATTAGGAAATTGTACTCAGTATCGCCGAGGGTCAAGAGTAAAAAGACGAGCTCTTGACAGGAGTTTTATCAGCAGAGACGATCTAGTGATATGTCTTAAGGGGTTTCATCTGCGAAAACAAAATGATGACATTGATGCGGCATTTTTGTAGAAATTTCATCACAGTTATTACATCATGTGCAATTTTTCTAGATTTCATTTCCAGGTTATTCACCTCAATAGGAAGATTTGATGAGATTTTTTCTTCTTTTGTTCGATTATTCATGCCAAATTTTGGCCAAATTTAAAGTAAAACTTTGCTAAATATTTTTTTAAATAAAAAACTATTGAATTTGATTGAATTTCATTTTATCACTCATTTAATTTAACTTTTAACGTTATTTATTGCAAGAAACACACATTCTTACAAATGGCCATTGCCCGAGGGCCTTGATCAGCCTAGAATTCACTTCTTTTGTACAGTATCAAATTAGTTCCATCCGTACAGTATCAAATTATCTCTATCTCGCTCATTTATTTAATTAAAAATGAATAATTCAATCATGGAATTTATGACGAATTAAGAAATTCCGTAATTTTGAAATCTAAAAATCCAGATTAATGTCATTATTTTCATTTTACGAACACAATACCTTAAACTTAAAATTTCAAATCTTCAAGTGATGGCTAATTTTTCATTGTCTAAAATTGAGGAAGGGAAAAAATGTGAATCCAAGGCAACTTATTTTGCTGGAAACATCGCGTGCAATTCTCCTGTAATTTCTCTAGATTTTGTTTCCAAGTTATTAACCCCAATAGGATGATTTCCTGAGATTTTTCTCTTCTTTTGTACTATTATTCATGTCAAATTATGTCTAAACTTGAAGTAAAACTTCGCAAACTATTTTTTATATTAAAAACATTATGGGAAAATATAATTTCAATTAAGTAAACGAATGATAACATTATGAAATTCCTTACGAATTAAGAAATTCCATAATTTTGACGGCTGAACAATTCATTTAGATAATTTATGCGTAAAAAAGGGAATGCCATAAGAAATAACTTTGATTTTTAGAAGAGAGAAGTTGGAGAGGCAAGGCAGACGAATGGGGAGCCTATAAAACCGTAATGGTAGTAGGAAAGAAATATGAATTAAAAAAAATTTTAATAACTTTGATTCTTAATGAGTTCAAAACGAAATCTAAAAAAATTCTGGAAGAATTCAGGCACAATCCGACTGTCGTTATCCCATGTTAAATCCAGATTAATGTCATTATTGACATTTTTCGAACAAAAAACCTTAAACTTCAAATTTTAAATGTTCGAGTGGTAATTTTTCACTGTGAAAAAATGAGAAAGAAAAAAAGGAATCTCAAGGCAACTTAGTTGCTGGAAAACCGAATGGTCCAAGAGTCTGAGTCGTATGAAAGGAATAAAAATAATCGAAATATTAAATTTTTACTTCAGTCGTAAAATATAAGATCTACTTCAAGATCAATTTCTGGAAATTACTTTCGAATCTGAGGGAGATTGAAGAAATGGTGTGATGACTTTCCTTGCAAAGAAAAAAATCAAGGAGAATAGCTAAATTTTATTATAATTCACCACTTCACTGCTGAATTCAATGACATCTGGAGTGGAATTGAGGATAAACTCAATAATTTGGAGGCGACTAAAGCTATAAATGACTAATGAGGGAACAAAACGAAAGTTCAAAACGCTTTCTATTTACAACTTCATGTAATCAACAATCAGCAGCTTTCATTGAGATCGTAAACTAGTGGATATTAATCGTGGCCAAAAGATATTGTAGAATAACTGTTCAACTGATTGCCTATAGGCTGCTGACCTCGCATTATCAAATGAAAATTTAAACAATGTGATTAAAGCATGTTCAAGCATTCCATTAAACCGTGTGCTGAGAGATAATTGAATATTTTCTCAAACAAGTCTCGTTTGAATCCTAAAATTCCCAAGTTGAAAATTTAAAGAACAATAAAATCTAGTGTTGACCGGTTGAAGACTGTCCGGGGAGGAAAAAGGTTTGTCGCAAAAATAGATTTAGTTCTTACAAAAAATCGTTATTTTCTGGTGAAGGAATTGACATTATTTCTAGCATTACTTTTTCGTTATTTGATACTACCAGACGTTTTTTGCTCCCGAAAAATGTTAATTTTTTTGTGAAACAAGGGACAGTAATTTTTCGCTTTGTCCAGTTAATAATCACAGATGAGACATTGATTCTTACATGAAATTTGTTGCAAAAAAAAATTTAATTGTTTTGAAAAATTGTTATTCTCTGACAGCAAGAAATATTAGATTTTGAAATTATTTGAATTTCAAAGTCTCAAATTCAAATTTAATAATTTCTTTTTTGATCATTTTACCTTGCAATTTTTTTGGTTCAAACAAGACTTGATTGAGAAGAACAAACAAACTCTCAAAAAAATCTAGTTTCAGCAGTAAAAATCGCAAGTTGAAAAGTTTAAAAAAAAGAAAATCTAGTTCTGACCATTTGAAGACTGTCCTGGGGTGGAAAATATTTGTCGCAAAAATCGATTTAGTTGGCCCAAAAAAGCTATTTTCTGGCCTTAAATTCTGAATCAAAAAATTTCTTTTTTGATGATTTTTATCAAGTTATTTTTTTTAGTTCAAGCAAGACTTGTTTGAGATGTTGTCTATTTTTCCAGACAAATCTAGTTTCAGCCCTAAAAATCTCAAGTTAAAAAGTTTTACAAAAATAAAATCTACATCTGACCATTTGAAGACTATCCTGGGATGGAAAATATTTATTGCAAAAATCGATTTAGTTGTTCCAAAAAAAGCTATTCTCTGGCCTTAAATTCTAAATCAAACAATTTCTTTTTTGATGATTTTTATCAAGTTATTTTTTTACTTTAAGCAAGACTTGTTTGAGAAGTTGTCTATTTTTCCAGACAAATCTAGTTTCAGCCCTAAAAATCTCAAGTTAAAAAGTTTTACAAAAATAAAATCTACTTCTGACCATTTGAAGACTATCCTGGGATGGAAAATATTTATCACAAAAATAGATTTAGTTGTTCCAAAAAATTGTTATTCTCTGAAAGCAAGAAACGTTAGATTTTGAAATTGTTTGAATTTGAAAGTCTCAAATTAAAATTAAACTATTTTTAAAAATATATTTTAATGTGCGATTTTTGGGGTTCAAACAGGGCTTAATTGAGAACTTCTACATTTTTCTCTCAGCATACTCACAACCGAATTTGTGACTCCAGTCACTGTCTCAACTAACGTCTATTTTCTGCATCTTTTACGTGTAAAAAACAATTTTTCTCGATCCAAATGTTACTTCGCACTTTTGGATGTATCCATTTATTGGTGATAGTTTCCAGATCTTCTAATAGGTAAATTATGAATCTTACATTGTGTGGATTATAAAAGTAAAGGATTACGAGTGCACGGGTTTGCACGACTGACTTTCTTTTACTTTTATTCACTCGATAATTGTAAGGAGATAAAACTATTGAATTGTATATCATTGTCGTATGTATAAAATGTTACAGCTTATATAAAGTGTTTACATAAAAAATAAATGAAAAAAAAAATCTTTATACAACATAAAGGGTGAGTGATTCGATGATTAATCCTTTTTAATTAGTTGTAAATTTCTTCCTTTCAATTTTGATTCTTTGCGTTTTTGCAAATTCCTTTTTTAGAAAAAAAGAATTTTTTAAGTTAAATAATAAGCGATAAAAAACGACGATTTGGAAAAACCCAATGATTTTCATAAATAAAACAAGCAGGGAGCCGAGCCTTTCAGTCAAAAGGCATGTGACCGTCACTTGATGCGTCATTTATCTTTTCATTTTTTATGTCTACAATTCCATTGGTAGTAAGCTTCCGAATGGATTCGTAGAAATTTTATTTTTTAACTGAAAAATAGAAATTTTTATTGAAAACGTTTCCTTTCAACGTTTGACCTTCTAAAATTGAGAATTAAATTTCGGTTTTATCCAGTGGGATAGGCATGTCTACACGACCCCCTTTTTAAGAAATGTTTCCATGTGAAAATCAATGATAAAACAACGATATGTCACTTTATGCGAAAAACGTTTTTTACATCATCTGCTCGATTTAAAAAAGTATTGAATCGATCAATCTGGAATTTTGCACAGAACTGCAACTCGATGATACTAACTAGTCCTCAACATTTTAGAACTTTACCCCATCCTCCACTCATGTAATGGAACGTCAAAACAACTTTCAGACAAAAAAAATAAAAAAACGCCAATACCTCGTAAACTTGGTAGGAACGGGTAGATATATTTTAAAAGAACTAGATAGGAGACATCAAGACGAATATTTTGAAAAAAAAAATTAAAATTGGATGAATAGTTTTTGAGATATTGAACAATATAGTTTTATACAAAAAATTGAGTATCTTTAAAACTACTCATTCGATTTCACCCATTTGAAATCCAGCCTGTAATATAGTAAGAGCTAGAATCCTACCAAATTTCAACTGCCTGTCTCAATTTTTCAAGCGTTATCGTGTTCACATCAATTTTATCACAAAAAGTGGAAAATGTCAATTACTGGGCGACTCGCAATAGTTAGCTAAACATATTATGGTCCGATTCGATAGATATTATCATAGGGAATATTGTGACGCCAAAAAAGTTCATTTGATGCAGTAGTTTTCGAGATATTGAGAAAAGAAATTTTTTTCGGAATCGCTGTATGTCAAAAACTACTGGACCGATTGAGCTGAAATTTCGCCCAGGTGTGCTCCCAAACAGTACGACCTATGAGCCAAAATTTCAGATTTTTATCTATCACTTTAGTCCCTTTTCTGTGAAAATTTATTTTAAAAAATCCCAGAATTTTGCACGTACATACGGATGTACACACAGACACTCTCTAAAAGTATCACATCTCGACGTTTCATTACATTTTAAGTCATTCCCAAGCAAAATTAGAGAATCGAAAAATCGATCGATTACAAAGCTTCACACGCACGAAAAAATTTAATAGAAAAACCTATCGAATTCGTTAGAAAATTCTATTGAATTTCTATTAAACTTTCTGTTAGTTTTTGGCTGATTCTATTGACATGTTCAGTAGAAAACATTTAATAGAAAAAGTCAACGGAATTCGATTTTTCTATATAACTCATTCTTTTTATATATTTTCTGTAGAATTTGCTCGACTCTAATTTTCTAAGTGTTTTTCATTCTATTTTTATTTCCTCCTCATCAAGAAAATCAAATGAAAAAACTTGGAAAATTTGAGCCGAGGAAATTCTATAGAAAATATCTCAATAGAATAAGTTGTATAGAAAAATTGAGTTCTATTGACTTTTTCTACTGAATATTTTCTATTGAACATCTCAATAGAATCGGCCAAAAACTGATAGAACAGTCCAATAGAAATTCAAGAGAATTTTCTAACGAATTCCATAGGTTTTTCTATTAAATTTTTTCGTCCGTGCAATTCAGAAGCGAAAGGGTAATCGTCAGATGCTCTAGTGCCTCCCCCACCATTTCACCCATCCATTCAAAATAATAAACTCATAAATTCTAATCGCAATATCACCAACAATTGAATCATCCAAAATTGTTCAACCACACCATAAATAAAGAAGTTCCCTCCAGTCCCCTGGATTCAAAAATAATAGAAAACAGTTGGAGTCGCAAAGACAAAGGGACCTTATTACTCGATCATTGAGAGTTTGAGCTCCCCTTCGCACATGAAAAAGCGTAGGAAAAAAAACAAAAAGCCAGCCTCCCACCCCTTACACCAATCTTCATCCACCGGTGCAAGGACGTGTGGAACAAGAGGATCGACAATCCTCTGTTTTGTAACGTGCAGGAGTGCCTCGCCAAATGGGGCGGGAGAGAGAGAGGGCGGATGGGCATTGTGTAAAAGAGAATCAAATGTGCGTGAGGTACGTGAAGGGGATTCTGGGGAAGCCGGGGGCCTTGCAGAGTCTGCTGAGAGAATATCACGAAAAATCAGGGGGAATGGGAGATATATATCTCGTTTTTACACACAAAAATGCGAAAATAACATTTTTCCTCATTTCTATTTTTCCAATTTTTCATTTTTGAAATTGCCAATAATTTAGGGGAAATTGTGCGTGATGGGAGGCAATTGATGATTGTAAATGCAATGAGAGGAGAGAGAAATTGTAAAATATTTCAGTTGCGACGCGGTAAAACGGTTGACGTCGATTTTTAACATTGACCAGTTTTTAATGAATATCTCGGATCTGAGAGAGATAGCGAAATTTTTGTTGGAACCTTTTTTGTAGAGGAAATCGAGGGCTACAAAAAAGGTTATTACGAAAATTTTGATATCTCCCGTAGATTCGAAGATATTCCTGAAAAACTCAGCTGAGGCCTAAAGCGACTTAAACCGCCTGCAAAAATAACATTTTTTTTCATTTCCATTTTCCCAATTTTTCATTTTTGAAATTGCCAATAATTTAGGGGAAATTAAGCGTGATGGCAGGCAATTGATGATTGCAAATACAATGAGAGGAGAGAGAAATTGTTGCAAAATATTTCAGTAGCGACGCGATAAAACGGTTGAAGTCGATTTTTAACATTGACCAGTTTTTAATGAATACCTCGGAATCTGAGGGAGATAGCAAAATTTTTGTCAATATCTTTTTTGTAGAGAAAATCGAGGGCTACAAAAAAGGTTATTACGAAAATTTTGATATCTCCCGTAGATTCGAAGATATTTCTGAAAAACTCATCTGAGGCCTAAAGCGACTTAAACCGCCTGCAAAAATAACATTTTTCTTCATTTCCATTATTTTTGTAATTGACAATTATTTGATGAAATTTGTGCTTGACGAAAGAGCCAATGAACAATTGCAAATGCATTAAAAGGAGAGGGAATAGTTTGTCATAAAATACTGCAAAAATTATTTTTTTCTCATTTTTAAACAGAAATAATGTTTTCATTACTTGAGAGAAAAATTAACGGAGAGGAGATTCTCCAAAATTCAAGTGACACATTTCAGACATTAACAAAGAATGATCCGTTTTGCCCCAGTATATTTAAAGAAATTGTAAAAACTAACGTTTAATCAAGAAAAAATCCTCACTCACTCCTCGCAGGATTTTGCAATCCTCAATCAGAAATTGATCTCCGAAAACATTTTTCCGCACTAGTGCCTGAAATACCCATTATCATCCTCAACCCAATATCTTCCACAGCGATTGAACCTCCGAGATTGACGGGTAATCCCATTTCCGCCAAAAGTGGTAACTAATCTAATAAAATATCCTGTCTCCTGCGTAGACTGCGTAGGGGGGAGAAGAGTCTCCCCGAAACCTCCAGAACCCCATCGCGATCCCCGTCCCCTCTTCCTCCGTCGTCCTCAACCCTTCAGCCTCATCCTCATTTTAAACAAAAAAAAATCCCCAGGAACACACCCCGCCCCATCGACACCCCCGTAAAATCCTTGTGATGTCGCATCGCAGAAAATAAATTATTTAATTCCAACTGCGGATTTTCTTTCACGCACGAGAGAATTTATAAAAAAACCTGACGAATTCCATAGAAAATTCCATTAGATTTCGCTCGAAGTTCTATTAAAATTTCTATTAGTTTTCGGTCGATTCTATTGAAGAATTCCACAGCTTTACAGTGCGTTTTTTACAGAAAATGTCCAATAGAAAAATTTTTGTAGATAAAATCAGTAAAATATCATCTTTCCATACGCCTTTTTCTATTAGGGCACTATCTATAGGAATTTCTGGACATGAATTCCCCAAGTTTTTTCCATTCTATTTTTCTTCTCTTTTCATTAGAGACCACACATGAAAAAATTCAATAGAAAACCTAGCGAATTTGCTAGAAAATTCTATT